CTCTTGGGAAAAAAGCATACATCTGATTCCTCCTACAAATTCCTCCATTATTTCTTGAATATGGTCCATTCAATTCAATTCAATTCAAGAAACATTTATTTCATACTCCTTTAGAGAAATACATCAATAAATATACAATATATATAAACAAACTGCCTGAATCCTGCAAAATGCTGCGGCAGTGACTGTCAATATGTTGAGGCTTGGCCAGTGACATCCTGGAGCAGTACGGAGGATTTCAAGCATAATCCAGGCCTATAGATATTTATGCATGGCTGAGCAAAAACAACACAAGGTCCGGCCCAAGACCTTGACATAGTGCATCCTACGAAATCAGTAAGTTACACACTGTTGCTATGTACAAAAACATGTAACCTTAATCCTCCAAGTTCCTCCACTTTGTCAAAGAGGATTTTGAAGGATTCAGGGCGGTTAGGTGAATTAATGTCACTTGGTTTATATTGCACTGCTTTCTCAAGTTTATACCTGAAATTTCTCTTATAAAAATGCATTCATCATTAGATTTGTATATTATCACAGTTCTAGTTGATTTGGGGGCATACGCATGTAATTTGCATACATTTGCTTAATAATACATCGCTATATGGTTTCCATGGAGCCCTACATGAGTAAATATTACTTGCAATATTTTTTTTAAATTTAACCAATTCTAACCAATTTGAAATTACAAATTGAGATTTATTTGTTCACATGTTTCTCTCCAATTATGTACACTCCCATCGACTCAAAATATATTGCTTTGAATATTTAATACTTAAATCTTAAGGCAGGATTGTAAAGAGCTTTACAACAAAGCTTAAAGGGGCATTACGTCCTGAAATGCACCCAATAGGGCCACAAAACACATTTATCTAAATGAAATGATGTTAATTGGAAAGAGCACGTTAAAGTAGGATATATAAACGTCCACACAACCATCATTTAAAAACTAGGCGTTTTTGTGTTAGTCTGGCGAGAACCATGCGAGAACGAATTTCGGGGGTCAAAAAATCAAGCTGTTATTTGGGTGCTAGTTGTGATTCCTGCCACACAGTGCATTGCATTCTGCGGACGTGCGAGAAACAACATTTGTGTATTGGTGCTGTGTGTATTATGTGACACACACACAACGTGTACCGTACATTGAATGGACACGGCTGGAAATACGTGTGCATATGCCACAAAAGGTCTGTCACGTCCAATGTACACAACCAGATTTGTTCGTCTTTTCTCGGGAACATTTTACATTAGGTTAGTTTCTTTCAACCAGACCTTTGACATAGGATAAGTAAACGATCCAAAATGTAAGATTTTTGGGGATTTCAGGACGTAATGCCCTTTAAAGAGGTTGTGGAATGCTCGAAGACATTTCCGTCATTTTTCGGGTATATGTAGCCTAAGGTGTGATGAAATAAAAACGACTATTGTGTCTGTCATGAAATGAGTACAAAAGGTACTTTTGAGAGCTGTTTTTCAGGTCCTGTTTCGACCCGAACGTGCAATTTGTGTAAAAGTCGGCGTTTGGGGCAGCAAACAAAACATAGTAAATCGTGACGTAATAAACAGGACTCCCGATGCAGCATAGTATAAACGAGTCCTGTTTATTACATCACGATTTTTCTCATTTTACGAAGAACCCGACGACTGTTGATTTCAATTATGCGCTCGCCGACCAACAAATTACTCGATGAATTTCAGTTTTATAAACATATAAACACACATTACAAAAGAATGGGACTTTGTCATTATAATATATATGGGTCTACTCAACAATAAAAAAATATAAAAAACAAAACGACTTTCAGCATTCCACAACCTCTTTAAATAATCAAAATTCACAGTGCAAGTCAAGCGCTGCCCTACAAAGAAAATAATCACAGCATTTATGCAGTGTTTGCTTGCATGACAATACCGTTCACTTCCATAGATTATCAATTATATCACAGATAGAACCTTGGAAACACAAGACACGTGTGATGTGGTGGGGTGGGGGGAGGGGAGGGATGCTGAAACATCAAGCACATATAGTCAATTATCTCGAGGACAGAACCTTGGAAAACGTCAGGTGTTGGAGGGAGGGGAAAACATCAAGCACGGTCACTGACTCGGTACATCTACGGTGCTGGTGATGAGGCACGTTCACGTACGGCACAATTCCAAAAAACGAGAAATGAAAACATGAACCAATTTGCTATGGGCAAAAGACGTAAATTTGCATGCCACTTTAGGAAATGTATGCGTACACGTACAAAGTGGTTTTATGGCAAATGCAGATACTAAGACAGTCGTGGGATCGGGAAATACTGTACATTTGTAGCAATTTGTAACAATCATTTCAAAACTAATACAGTGTCACTGGGGATTACATTGTGCATCACCGTACCATTCCCCCAGAGAATCTCAATATTAAAGTTGTTCTTTCTGTGCTATTTGAGTTTCTTTCCAAAAAAAACCCCCAGATGTTGTTTTAAACATGTTAAATGGCTCTTTTTCTAGCAATATAAAAGATTTTCACTTTGGAATAAGTACCAAACAATCTGTCGACGTTTAGATGTTGAATGTTTACTTTAAAAAATTTTAATTATTTGCAGCCTGACAAAAATTCAAGCATACACGTAAATCGTTTTGTGCATTATGGGCTCAAAAGCAATCCAAATTAACATGCATTGAAAACTACAAATAAAAAAGGAGCTTTTTCCGTTTATAGAAAACACACGAATTACAAATGTTTTTCAGAAAAAACAAAACCCTGATAATGATGTCGAAGAGCCACTTCAACAAGGATATTTAGCTCCCTAAATTACATCCATTAAGATCAAATCATTGTCTAAAATGCGATCTTAGAACAAAACAAACTACACACTAACTGGACACATTATCTGTTCAAAAATCACAAATACATGCAATGTGGGCAACATCTGGGCTTAATCTCAGGCAAAATATGTACTTACGAAGGGCTTAAGGAATGATAAAAAAATAAAAGCAAAAAAGGGGAAAATCAGACGATTAGGCTTAAATTTAATCCAAACATCTTGGACAAGACTAATGACAGCATTTACAATGGCTGTTTGTGTATTCAATTCAATGCAATAAAACATTTATTTCCACTCTGTGGAGGCATCATCTGAAAAAGCCGAAGCTTGTGGTGGATGTACCCAACAATACAAGACAAAACAAGGCAAACAACACTAATAATAGAATTTAGAAATAATAACAATAGTTAAATATATATGTGTAAAGGTACCACTAAGGAGACACGTTATCGTAATTTCTTTGCACGATGTGAGACATCGGTCATTAGGGAGACATTTTCATGTCTCCCTAATGTCACAGCCCTCTTTAGAGGCACAATTTTGCTGTCGCAATTAGGTTATATTTGTTGCTCGTGGTCTAATTAGTAAACATACCGAAATTCATGGGAAAAGGACAAGGGAATATTGGGTTAGGGCACGTTTAAATTTTGTGCACAAGTCTATGGGGATGTCTCCCAAATGTCCAATCCAGGGTAATAAGTATAACGGTTAAACAAAGTAGACACGATAATAAATAACATATCAATAGCGGCTAAGCCAACTTAATAATAAATCAGGTATTCTGAGAATTAAGTAGGAATGTTTTTAGTTTATATTTGAATGTATTCTTGAGGGCCGATTAGTTATAGACGGTGAAAGATAGTTCCAGTTTTTTGGTCCAGAGAAAGAAATGGCATGAATGGTATGTTGAGAAAGGGTTGTTCTGGCTTGAGGTATGTAATTTGGATGAGGACCTAGTATTATAATGATGTATGGCTCTATTAAAGCCAGAGTCCATCATTTGCAGCTATACAAAAAGTAACTGGCGTAATTATTGTTGAAAAACACACTTGGTTGAAAGATAGTAAGGGGACTAAACTCCCTGTGAAATAATTCTTTCTGGCAAGCTGTCATTTTGAAGAATTCAACAAAAGAAGGTCTTTCCAACGGTGCGTCTTAAGAAGCACCGTAGGAAATTCAAATTAGTAGTTCATTTTGTTATTCGGCGAAGCGCACGCAAACATTGGCACAACGCACACGCAGTTGCTATAATTCGTCGGATCAGTGCGTGACATCGCGTAGCTGCAATCGGCTCAGTAAGAACGTGTCTCGGGCGCTGAGTTCAGGCACAATTCAAAACATGATTCAGCAACTTTTGATTTGAAATTGAGATCCTAGAATGTTGTTTTTCTCGAAGTATACAGCTAAAGCTGAGCTGAAACTTCATCAGGTTAGTTGTTCAGCACCCTTCTTTAGATCTTGAGCACTTTTGTTGCTTCAAACGAACAAAATGCACAAATTACAAATGATGGACTATACCTTTAAATTGAAAAAGGTTGTGTAACGATTCAGGAAGTTGGTCATTTACAAATTTATACATAAAAAATCTTGTTGAAAGACATTAATATTAGTACAAGAGACAAAAGCTTTTGTTTCCTAAATAAAGGAGATTGATTTTGGTTACATTTATGAAACAGTTTTGGATCACCTCCGCCTGCCATTTTGAAAATGTTTCTGTCCGACTTTCTTCGGAATCGTGCGGGAACTCTAAAAACTCTTTCATAGGTAGAATAGCAATTCATTTACTTCAAACACAATTAAGCTGTGAGTGTCTTGTATCAACCTTGATAAGTTGTGCAGTAACAGGCTCCACGACAATCACGACTTGCTTGTAAAATAGGTCATTTTTCAGTCGCTACGCCACAATTTACGCCAACTAAAATGATTGCGCAGGTTACGCTATAATTTGCTGCACAACTCGTGGACTTTTGTGAATTTGCCGTTACTGAAATGTTGCACAGCGGGAATTGTTGGGCAGCTTGCGCAACAAATTGTGGCGCAAGTGGAATATGCCATTGCGAACAGTTTCTTGAAATCGGCTACAGAAGTTGATAGATATTTCCAGTGCCCCCAGGGTGGGGATGGGGGAGGGGGTGTGGGATGGTGGGGGTGGGGGTGGGAGGGGGCATTTATTTCCAGCTAACTTACCTTCGCGAGGAAGCTCTTTCGGCATGTATGTTGTATTGCAGAATTCTCTCACAGACATCGTCCAAAGCTTCAATCAGACGAAGCTCTCTGATATGAAAAAAAACAGGGGAAAAGTACATTTAGAGCCAAGTGCTTCTTAACTTTAAAACTAAGAACAAACACAAGAATTTTATAGACAAAATTGGTCTTGAGGGTTAATATCCATAGAGCCTGAAAGTTCACCCCTGGTGGCCGCTTCCGGAACCCTTGAATAGGAAAATTAAAGTCCACAAATTTAAAATTTGCATTTATTTTTGGTACTTCGAAAAAGGCCTAAAAATTTTTAAAAGGAAACTTTTTTACTAGCATCTCAATTTATGGAAACTGAAAAATCACCTGACGTGAACAATAATTTAAACGTATCATGCCAAAAACTGACCTCTCACTTTTAAAAATCTAAAATACATGTACATGTGTACTAGTGGAACTCGGTGTACTCGTACACGAAGATGAAAATTTATGGAATAATTTTGTGGCGGTCATTGGCTGAAAACTGAAATTTAAAAGGAGACTAAAATGTTTTTTATTACAATTTGTTTAATAAACTTGAAAGACTTGTTAGCATTTTTTTGTAACAAAAAAATCCAAAAAGCCAGCCCAACTTTAATCTAGAAACCATCGGCTGTAGGCAGGTAAATCTTTATGTCGTACAGTTTCGTTCTCACTCAAGTCCCGATGTGAAAACAAACGAGAACGAACAATGAGACTAGGAACAGAAATGCCGGATGTGAAAGGTCGTTAGTAAAATTCGTTTGTATCCATCTCCAAGTGATTTCTCATCATTTTTTTTTGAGGTATACCAAGATAAAAATTCCAACATGAAATGTTTCTTGGGGTGATTACGGTTAAAAATCATTCCGTCAAAAATTACAGCAAGAAAAAGGGCAACCTACATGTAGTGTAAAATGCCCATAGGCAAGCCGCGCGAGGATTCCGGAAGCTAGCGTGTGACCTTTTACTTTCAGGTTCTACATGTATTGACACAGCTGCATTTTTAGGTAATTTTGTTCAGGGCGCTTACTCCAGAAGACGATACATGCGTGAGAAGATCATTTTCCAAATGTCAAGCTGGCCACTTGGGAATGTTCCTCCCACTCAAAGACTGGATTATCCTGGACAATTGCGCTTGGTTTGATATTATACATTTTGCATTTTCAAGGTAAAAAACAAGTACCGTATGCAGAATTACACACGAACCCTACTTCGTATCATCAGCAAAAAGTGAAAAAATTTTGCTCCCCACACATTCTTTTATACAATTTTTATTGAAAAATATACAGTTTCAGGTAAAATGTTTCTAATTCAATTGTCTCAGTGACTTGTGTTCCACAGGTTGGGGCCATTTCAATTCAATATAACAAATGCAAATGCTACATTATTCATTCACATTCATTTTGTACAGTTTCCAATTTAAACGCATGCACAAATAAGACCGATGATGTCAACCAGTGTGTGCATTGTTCACATTAGTTCAGCCTCCTGCTGTCTGAACAGCCACAGACAGTCAATACAAATCAATCCTCTCCCCTGCCATGCCTTTTACACAGGCTAGTCACCAACAGTTAGATCATGTTTCTACATGTAGCAAGCACTGTGACTAGTCAAATTCAGTCAATAGACAAAAGCAGGCAAGTGGTAGGCACAGCTGCCTTATCAATCACCTACAGTCAAAGCATAGCTGTATCAAGTTACATAAACAGTCACAGCCAGTCAATCCTGCTTCATGTAGGCTGGGAGCTCTTTAACTGTTGAAAACATTCACTTGATTGATTTTGACTGAAAGGACAACTTTGCACTGTATGTATGTTTGCATAGGAGGGCTGAACAGTTTTTTCTCTTCTATCTACACATACATGTGTCTTTCACAATTCAAATGAAATGTGAACACTTCAATTCTTGGTTTCTTTTCCTTTTTTCCTTTTTTTTTTATGATCCCCACCTTAAGTGGCTCTTGGCGATGTATTTTGGTGATACCAGAAAATTTTTTTTTAAGGTTCTCATAATTTTTTTAGCCTCTGAAGTAGAGTCGGTTGGTTGGCCAAAAAAATCTGAAGGAAAAAACTGCAGTTGTTCACACCCTTATAGATGGCTGAATTAAATGATGCAAATACGCACTTTGCATCGTTCAATTTAGCCATCTACCGGAATACTTGAATGACTTGAAGGACTCATTAGCATTTACAAAGAAAATCTAAAGTGACTGCTGATAAGTGACTGCTGCGTTCAAGCCATCCCGACTAAATCTAGAACCCATCGGTTGTAGGAAGGTATGTTTGCGTCAAAATACACTTTCGTTCTCATGCAAGAAGTCCAAGGAATGAAAATGCCGGATGTGAAAGGTCGTAAGTAAAATTCATTTTTACCCATCTCCAAATGATTTCTTATCATTTTTTTCCTTGAGGAATACCAAGATAAAATTCCAACAGATAGTCCCCCTACCCAAAGATTATTGTCACCACGTTTGGTTGGGAGTGAAGTCTGACTTTTCACATGACAGCACTTTTCAGTTTAACTAACCAAAAACACCAATGACCTCATTTGACCCCTAGATGACCTTTGACCTCAAATGTCTCAAGTCATCTGAAGTCCCCCTACCCAAAGATTATTGGCACCAAGTTTGGTTGAGATTGAAGTCTGACTTTTCATATGACAGCACTAAACAGTTAAAGGGAAAATACATCATTTGCAAACATCAAAAAATAAAACTACCAAATCATTTTGAAATACCTTGCTGGACTGTTAGTGAATGACAGTGTAAAGCATCCTGTAAAATCATGGCACCTGGTATACTGCCATTTTCAAGAAAAGTGGTATTTTTGTATCAATTTCCAACGCTGATCGGCCGACCAGCGTTGGAAAAAAACTGGCTTTTTTCAAATACTGGCCCCAGTTGACCATCGCACTTGTTTACAATCCATTACACACCTATGAACGGGTACAAGCCAGCTAGACTGGTTCACTGACCTTACAATTCCCCAATGTATGTAAACTGCTCTGTTTCTTCTTATATGGAGTCAGGGAACCAGACTACAGGAAAATGATCGTTTTTCTTGGTTTTTATAGCTTTTTCGAACCCAAAACCTCAAAAAAGTCAGTGTAACTATATTTGCTATATATTTCCAACCCCCCAATTCCATCCATTTCTGAAAATTACAGCAAAAGCAAATGATGTATATTCCCTTTAATCTAACCAAAATGGAACATATGGACAGACGGAATACACTATCGCAATATCCCCCTTTCTTGGCTAAAACCTGGGGGATAAAAACCAATAAAAAAATTAATAAATAAACACATTTCTGCTGGTATCAACACAAAAGGGATCTGCAAAAAGGAACCTGATGAAGTCATAAATTTGATTTTTATTCTGCTTGAGGATAAGGCCAAAAAAAAAGTCTCCGGTTTCTGGTATGGAGCTTGCCCAAAAAGTGGTGCGGCGACGCGGCTTTTTTTTTTTTTTTACCTGATTTTTTTGCTTCAAATGACTGATGACTGCAAATGGTGCCCGACTAAACTTAGTGCAAATATACGGGAGTCCAGAGAGGCCACATAAAGCTTATTCTCGACCATAACCCAATCTAAAAACACGTTTAAATTGTGCAGCAGCAGGATTCCAGTCAAACCAGTGAGTTTGGCGGTTTTGAGACATCATCTTTCATTGAAAAAAAAACTTTTTCATTTTGCCGACGCGCATGACCACGGCGACACGCGCGCATACCAGAAACCGGAGACTTTTTTTTTTGGGCCTAAGACACAAATCTATTTTATAAATTCCAAAAACTTACGATTTGTGGTACTTGATTTCCTTCTTCTGCTTGTCAAATTGATGGCCTATCCGGAGAACTTCTTTTTTCTTGCCTGTTTCTTTCATTGTTTCTTGCAATTCCTGGGCCACAAACTTGCAAACTACAGGGAAAAAAATATGTAAATGATAATATTTACTAAAGAATGTAAATAAAACTGAATAAATAAATGACAGGTCCGATGTAAACTTTACAAACTTCCAAGTAAATTTCTTTTTTACAAATTCAAAATAAATAAGTTTTAAAGTACATGTACAATGTGCATGTCTCTGTTCACTGTTGAGAGATTTTTCCCTTTTAATAATTTTTCAAGCTCTGGATATTAAATTCCAGTCACAAACAATGAAAGCATGGAACCAGATGAAGAGTCGTCATTTATTATTAAAATGTTTACCGCGAGGAATCTTCCTCTGGTTCCGCTCTGGTTCTTGATGTGAATTTGTGTTAAATTAAAGAGATGGGAATCGGACCTACTGGTAAAACAATCTCACACTTTATTTCCCTTTAAAACAAATCAGCCGTAACCCTATTTTCAATTACTATTGTTACAGCGCTGTAAAAACACACCAGAACGTATAACATTTAGGCCTAGTCCGAGTAACTTGGACCCAACTTATCGCCTTTTTAACATTCGGACATGGTCTGGCGATAGTAGGGTCCAAGCCAATTCATATATGCCGAGCAACACCGCCCAACAAAAACATCAGATTTCACCCTCAAAATTGCCTACAAATTACTAGATATGCCACCTGAGGTACAAGTAGACATCGATGATTTAGATGGTTGGAGTCGGGAACTACATGTAGCTTGAACTGGTTTCCGCCCATTAAAGCTGCCCTAGTTCCCGACTCCCTATTATCGTTCGAAATGCACTAGTGTTTACTATCGCGATCCAGTCTACTCATTATCATAATCGATGCATCGCGCGCGCTCGGTAACGGAATTGCACTCGGGATACGGGGACCATCGAATGTACGCTGGGCATGAAGACCACATCGCATCGTTCAAACGTTAACACGAGTCGGAAATTTAACGTGTTCACGATCGCGAGGGGAGCTCTCGGAATTGAACGGGAAATTTCACTTTTCATCTGGATCGTAAGTAAACTTCAGTACAACCAGCCATCTAAATCATCGATGTCTACTTGTACCTCGGGTGGCGTATCTTGTAATTTGTAGGCAATTTTGAGGATTTTTGTTGGGCAATGTTGGGTTTTTGGGTCAAGGACAAAATTGTGTTGCTCGGCATGCATGTATACGGATTAGCTTGGACCCTACTATCGCCAGACCATGTCCGAATGTTAAAAGGGCAATAAGTTGGGTCCAAGTCACTCGCACTATTTTAGGCCATGAGAATGAAAGTTTTAGATTTGCGTCCGAATATCTTCCAGATGACAGGTGGCATTTTTTCATCGTTCATCATTCACTATTTTTGTGAAAAAATCGATCTCTTGACCGTCTCCTAAATCTTGGCAGTGGTGGATGCCGTTGCACGCCGCGCCACGAGTCTAGAACATGACAGCAGGTCCGAGACTACAACGGCATGAATAGCAGACCTCAGATCCCATTCAATCATTGAAAAATCTGACAAATATCGCCATCCACTTAAACGTTAAAATTAGCTTGAGTAACTCCAGCTGACATGCTCATAATATTCATTCACATGTGAATGAATATGAGCATGTCAGCACTCCAGCTGACATGCTCATATTCATTCACATGTGAATGAATATGAGCATGTCAGCTGGAGTTACTCAAGCTACGTTGGGTCCAAGTTATTCGGACTAGATCATGTGATCCATCCAACAGTTTCAGGCAAATCAGTAAAATATTACTTTTTTATTAGTGTGAAAATATCGATTGGAAATAGGCCTACTCAACTCGATCATAAATACTTTTTCAAACATAGGCCTATGCCATGTTTTCCAATGTCGATCAATGATGGTAGAGATTAATCTTTTACGAAGCTTCACCTCATGGTATAAGAATGGGAGCAGTATTTGTTATATCATAAAAATATGTAGTCCGAGTAACTTGGACCCAACTTATCGCCTTTTTAAAAATTTGGACATGGTCTGGCGATAGTAGGGTCCAAGCCCATTCCGAGACCTAGACAACACAGTCACTGACAGTCCCAAAAACCAACATTTTCCAACAAAAAACATCAGATTTCACCTTCAAAACGGCCTCCAAATTACTAGATATGCCACCTGAGGTACAAGTAGACATCGATAATTAAGATGGTTGTACTGAAGTTTACTTACGATCCGGAAAAAAAGTGAAATTTTCCGTTCATTTCGGAGAGCTCCCCTCGCGATCTTGAACACGTTAAATTTGCGATCGTGTTTAAAGTTTGAACGACGCGATTTCTTCTACATGCCCAGCGTACATTCGATGGTCCCCGTATCCCGAGTGCGATTCCGTTACCGAGCGCGCGCGATGCATCGATTATGATAATGATCACGTTTGTAAACACATACATGTGCATTTCGAACTGTAAAAGGGAATGGGAACCAGCTTGAACTGGTACCCGCTATGAAAGCTGCGCTAGTTCCCGACTCCCTATTATCGTTTGAAATGCACATGTGTTTACAAACGTGATCCAGTCTACTCATTATCATAATCGATGCATCGCGCGCGCTCGGTAACGGAATCGCACTCGGGATACGGGGACCATCGAATGTACGCTGGGCATGTAGAAGAAATCGCGTCGTTCAAACTTTAAACACGATCGCAAATTTAACGTGTTCAAGATCGCGAGGGGAGCTCTCCGAAATGAACGGAAAATTTCACTTTTTTTCCGGATCGTAAGTAAACTTCAGTACAACCATCTTAATTATCGATGTCTACTTGTACCTCAGGTGGCATATCTAGTAATTTGGAGGCCGTTTTGAAGGTGAAATCTGATGTTTTTTGTTGGAAAATGTTGGTTTTTGGGACTGTCAGTGACTGTGTTGTCTAGGTCTCGGAATGGGCTTGGACCCTACTATCGCCAGACCATGTCCAAATTTTTAAAAAGGCGATAAGTTGGGTCCAAGTTACTCGGACTAAAAAATATGCAAGAAATCTCCGGCCTACCTTCACATTTCGATGGATCTCGATGCGGGTTCGTTTGGTCCTGCGGATCCAAGTCCCCAGAGAAACCACTCCACACCAAAAACAGCACCAGAAAAACAGCCAAACGCCACCCTGTACTCATCTCAAACATCTTCTGGACATTGCCTCTCAAAATCGAACATCTACAGACAAATTTAAGTAGCTATTTCCGCTTCAAAATACCACCTTACGTCGTCCGCTGTGGGAAAACCCCTCAGTTTATTGTAAACAATATGGTCAGGTGTTCCAAACGACACATTTGCATAACGCACGGTAGCCGCAGTGCACCAGACTATTTATTAAAGCGAATATTCTTACTTTTTTGAAATCGCGGCTTGAAATCTTCAGCTTCGGAGATTTTGGGGACTCTGGTTCTGTACTTGATAGAACGTCATTTTTGGGAATAAAAAATGTGTCTTAATACTTAATGTCATTTTTCAACATTATTTACATTTAGTTTCGGAATTAAATGCTTCTTATTTTATTCTCATGTTAGAGATAAAGCCGTATGACAGGAATGCCGCAGTTTCTGAAACTCCCTGGGTTACAATTAATGGTTGAGGGCGCTATATAACATTAACAGACGATCACGAACCAAATCATGGAAGCACGTGTTTTCTGCTTACTTTTTGCATGCAGCGCGTAGTTTAGATTTAGAAACAGTAACATGTGGAAAACTCGTAACCACACTTCTAAAGAAGCTAAATTCTGAGCCTCAAGTTTACGAAGAGTTTTTGAAGAAGGCGAGTTCCAGCTAGTTTGCATGGTTTTTCCAGGCCGGATTAAAAATTTGCATTGGGGGCCTGTTGGGTGGGCGGGGCGGTCGGCGGGGGGGGGGGGTTGGAGACTGATGACATGACGGTTGGGGGTGTAAAGTATAGACTAATGTCATAATAATTATGAGATGTTAACCAAGCATTAAGCACTTTCACAGTAAATACCATGTGCCATCTTGTTCATGGGACCAAAACTAAAAAGAACACGCGTTGCTAGACCGTTGGAATGAACGCATGATGACTTGGAAGTGCAAAAGTTTTCTGATTGACAATGGGTTCAAAGCAACGCATGTAAATGTGCCCTGTAAGCAAGATGGCACTTATTCGTGAAAGTGCTTATTGTGCCAGTCACATGCTGAGCTCTACTGAGTGGCCAGCTAGAGCGCAACTACAGTACCCTCCGTATTAAGCCAAGGGTACCGTAGTTCCAACGCTTCACTCAGTAGAGCTAATGCTGATTAAAACTGAAAATATGGCAAGTTGCAATCTTTAAAAACAAGCACAATCCACTCCACTATCTATTTAAATGGTGTCTGACTCGGTGACTGTGTTTATGGGATTGGTCAAGTACATACAGTCTATCTGAGCCCCAGACGACGTCTGCAGGGGCATCGCTGGAGGGGGGGGGGGGGGGGGGAGGGGAGCATGGGGTATCACACCCTACCAATTATTCATATTTGTCATGAAAAATGTGTTTTTGTCAGCAAATATCTGTCACCTATTGTCCAATAATACTTAATAGTGTCCAATGTTATCTGCTTTGAACAGCACCCCTATTAGTCAGATGGTGTCGGACTCCTGACCTCCTCCTTAATCCCCCCCCCTACTTTACCCCCCCCCCCCCCACTCCCACCACCACCCTCGACCCCATTTTTTTGGGTCATTTTTGTGGCAGCTAAGTTGTTGACTTGTGGAAAAATCCCTGGCTACCCTCTGCAATTTTCAAAGTCAACCTTCCGCCCATTTGTTATTGGTCTATATAGCGGTGCCCTGCAGGGTGCGTTTTTTGGTGTCCCGGGGGGGGGGGGGGGTTGCCAGTTCCCCCCCCCCTCCCACCACCCCCCCATGAAAAAAAATTCTCTCTATGCTACTGGATCTTAATACAGGTTCATTGGCCAAGTATATTTATGTCAATAGTGACAATAAATGGGAGTAAGTTAATGAAGGAACAGCTAATTAAGACACAAATGATGTAGCAAATTTCACAAAGGGGGAAAAAAAAAAAAAAGTCGGTGCAGATTGTGTGCATGGAGTTCATGCTCGATTATGTGATCTTGAGTGCAGAATTTGTGTCAGATATTGTGCTTGTAAACTTTATTTGTTTCTACAGGTGTTTAGGGTAATGTAACCAGAGCTAATGAGCCTTGTGCTAGACTGGGGCATGGGGGGGGTGTAGTCCGAAAATTTGGGACTCTCAATATTGTGTATGAGAGTCCCAAAACTGTATTGAACACATGCAATACAAGAAAATAGACTGGCACCTGAAACAACCAGTCCAACACTACTTCAGTACTGCATCAATCAACTGTGCCAAAAGAAACGCGTGGCATAAACTGGGAACTGGTTTCTATTTACTACACATTTCTCCATAGTCAGCCACCAGACTAATGACACTGAATGGAGAGGTCAGTCTTTTCAAGTAGTTGGACCATGGTTGGACAATATACCAGTTTAGTCTTTATAGCCTCATTTTGAAATCAATTGACTTCCCTCTCATGTGCAAAATGTTGAAGAAATGTCTGCTTTTAAAAATTGAATTGAGTCTTCCGACTTTGGTTAGTGAAATACTAAGGACCATTTCTTTGCCAAATAGAATATTTGGGGAAATTTGCTGGCAAAATAGTGAGTAAAGTCGGCCTGATTTAGTTTTGCACGTTTCAGAGCACTCTAAGTCTCAGTCTTGGGGGGGGGGGTGTGCCAACCCACATTTTTTTTCGCCTCCCCCCCTCCAACTATTTTCAATCTGGGCTTGATGAAGACCTTGGAACACGTCCAATTGTGGGACACAAGTCAATTATAAGAAAGGCTATGCACTTCAAATGTGAAGTCAGCTTTATGATATCCAAAGATTTGACGTAAGGTTTTATTGACATTGATCAACATCATTTTTACTGATACTTGATGCAAACTTTGATGCAAACTGAGACAGTGACGTCAGAAAGAGATTGTGCGAAAACTCGCTTGGGTTGAGAGACTCAAACATACAATAGACAACTTCGCCATTTTCTATGGTGGCGCAAGGCGCGTGACACGGCGTGAGTCACCCTCAGGTAGTACATAAGCACTCCGGGCTCCTTCGACCAATAGGTCAATATGTTGTCCCACAGTCAATATGTTGCATGATGGAATTTAAAGGCACTTGGGAACATTTGCAAGTACCCGGAAATGTGCCTACCGATATAACGTGAAAATCCTTGCTCAAAGTGAAGATATGACTGGTATCAAATACCCTGTGAAACTATTCCCCCTGAAGTGGTATTATTTAGAAGACAACAATCATTAAAGGTAGTTTAAAAAAGTGTGCCCGTGGGCACAGTTTTTATGTGCATTAATGATTAGCAATGGAATCCAGTTACAAAACTCAAAAAGTTGTGCATACGTTCTCTCTGTTATTCCCAAAATGTATAGTATCCACTGAGCTGAATTTTCAACAAGTTAGTTATGCACCCTTCTTAAGATTTTGAGCAAGTTTTTTTGCTTCGAACGAAAAAACCATCAGCAAAAGCAAATGGTCGTATATATACCTTTAAAACACAAAAGTAAACACCTAACTGCATTGAAAGTCAAAATGTGATATTAAAGTGTCGGCCCTACGTCTGCTTGATGCAAAATTACCAAAATATTTATTTTTACCTTTTCGCTTCTTTCATTTGCAGATTTTGTAACTGTATTTGACAGAGATATAGTCACTTTTGAAAGGACCACAATTCCAACCCCAGAAAGATGCCTTTCTATTCAAAACAGGTGGGTTTTATACTAAGGGAATAAATATGTGCTTGGCCAGTATTAAACAAGTACATTTAAAACCGGCGAGGAGCCTGGACAGGGATAATGGTCCGAGTCCAAGCACATCTTTATTCCCCTTCATAAATATCTTTAGGTCAAAAGTCAAAACAAGTCAAAATCTTTAAAGTTCCAAAGATTTTGTTCAACAATTCTAATTTTTGTGAAACACCCTTAGGTGCCAGTTTTCTGCATTTCGTTACAAAAATGTTCATTTTGCCGCGTACGTGTAATGGATGACGCGTGGTTGTACACCTCATGCAAAATAATCGCGCATATTGCACTGTACACGTATTGTATCGCATCACAGTATACTGAGTTAGTGCATGCATGCAGTACACATATTTGAACCTATGCCTAAAACGTTTCGTGTGCAAGTCGTGTTGGTAGATAGGAACTGGTAACCGAATGGAATCCTTTACAAAATATATGTCAAAATGATCACGTAAGCTTCAATTAAATAGGAGACGTCGAATGAAAAGTTAAATAATTAAATTAAAAAAGGAAATATCATGATTCAATCAACGACGAAAATCAATCTTCCAGAAATCACTTTTTAACAATATGGTTCGTTGGTACTCACTATTCACTTTGTACAATGAGCCCGAACGGCACGTTGTGCTGCTTGTGCGCATGTGCGGTCACGATAGCCAAGATGGACGGCTACGCGGTGTCCATGCATGACGGCGATGTTGCGAACGAAGCAACTGCTCAGTTGCATTGCCAACATATGTTTAAATGGCAATTATTTCTGATTTGTTCAATACCTGCACACTGGTTGTGTTTTGTTGGATATTTCGGTCGCTATGTCCAGTTATTCTTACCATGTATTCTTCAATAAGAAACCCCCCTTTCAAAAAAATTCTTCGACCGACCGACCCTTTTGATATTTTTTATGTGAGGGCAACAATTAAACCATTTTTTTTGGGGGGGGGGGCCTAATTGTAAATTGTTATTTTTTTGTATTGTTTATTTTGTTGTTTATAACAGAGCCTTTTGAGAGAGTACCACAGGTGGAATGCACCCAAGAGAAGGAACTTGGATCGTTACATTGAAGTGATTTATGGAAAGACATTCCTCTCTGAGTTAAAGGTACGGTTATCTTCTGTAATAACATAGGCTACATATGTGTTTTAATGGTTCTACTTACAGAACAAACTACCAAAGCACGACAAAGTTTTAGCATGCTAAATTTAACAAAAAATTTCAATACAGTGGGAAATTTGTTGAAGTTAAGTTATTTTATTATTTTATTTTATTTCTTTCTGATAATGAAACCAAGGATTCCTCAAAAGCGCCCTAGGCACTGTAGCCCGAAAGCCTGACGAAACCTGTAGAGAGGAGACAATGAGAAGATATGACAGTTTTAGAGGTGGGAGGAAAAGCCCAGAAGAATATTTTGGGGAAAATCCACGGAATCAGGTAGGGACTGAAAACCCAATCCATATATTGGCCCAGGCGGGATTCGAACCCGGGTCACAGCGGTGGAAGGCGAGGAAAGTACCGCTACGCCAGCCTGATTCCCCAATAACAGACCTTTGTTCTATTGTTGCTGCATGCATGCTTGTAGCTAAAACTTTCTTTCATTACACTGTGAGGATTTCATTTTTTTTTCACATCAGATGAATCTTGAAAAGAAGAGACAAGACCAATCAACTGCAGCCCAGGGAAGATCACAACAGCCGCAAAAAGCAGTCAATGGATCATCAAAACAGGAGAAGCCCTCCGATTCTGAGACAAGAAATGCTGCTGAGGATGAAGGCCATCTTCAAGAAACCGTCACCAAGGAAATACCAAGACGCAAGCGTTATGCTCCACTGGCACATGGGAGCAAGAGTAGGGAGGCAGGGTCTAGTAGTGGATTGATGACAAGGAAAAGACGCCAAAGCAGATGGATATATGCCAGGGATGTTTCATCCTCGACAGAACTGACAGGAGAAACCTCTAAGAACGAGGAAGAAGAAGGGCGCTTTCAGGCAGATGGGGAGAGGAAGGAAGCTTCCACAGACCAAGACATCCCTGCCGTAATGGACCGAGAAGAGGATGCATTTATCCCTTCTAGGAGTGATTCTTCCACAACAGAAGGTACAGGAGAAGCCTCGACGAAGAAGCAAGGAGGGAGACTTCAGGCAGATGCTGAAAGTAAGGCAGCTTCCACAATTCAGGACAATCCAGACAAGGGTGCTTTTATCTCTACCAGAACAAAACGTTCTAGAGGCATCCGTGAGAGGAATGATGAAGGTAAAAGAGATGATACCAGGACAGATGGCAGCCTCGGAGCTCAATCAACACAGAGGTCTCTAGAGACTCTCCCAAGAGGTAATGCTGAAACGGCTACTTCAGATGCCCCCGAAACTTCAAGAGCTGTTGAGGATAAACCCTCTTCGGAACAAAAGGCAATTACATCCAGGACACAGAGAAAAAGCTCCCGGAAAAGCTATCCTTCAGGAAATGTTGACGGAACAGAACTTGACCTTCCTGTCGGCGAGGCAGGTTGTGACATTCAGAAAATACAAGCTCTGAATGCCGTTGCAGAATCCACAATGACGACAGCAAGTGAATCTCATGACCAATTCGAAGACGACCAAGATGGAGCCCTGTCGTCATCACAAATTTCAGGAGTGACTGGACAATCAGCTCTTGGGCTGAGAGGTCGTACCAGAAACAGAAGAGCCTTTTCTCCTCAGCAAAGAAGACGAGTAACCCGTCAAAGGTTCACCTCCTCAAGAAATGTCTCTGGAAGCTATAAGGTTGACAGCAGGGATACTGTGACAACATCACAGCCCAGCAGCACCTCGGAATCAGAAGTAAAAGAATCTGTCTCAGATAGTGCGGAAGGTAGCTCAACAGCGCTGATGCAAGGAGGCCCTTCTCAGGAAAGAGCTGTTGCCTCCAAGAGGGTGATAAGATTTCGACAGACTGCAAGGAAATGCTTTCCAAATCTAAGCCAAAGTGCAGCTGTTGAGTATGGAGGCAAGAGAAGCCGGTTAGCTGATGCACAGCCATTCAGCTTTACACTTGCCAGTGATCAGAGGCTAGATTCTGCTTCTTTCAGTCGCCGTGTTTCTGTCGAGGTTCACAGATTGGAAGAGCCAGTAGGTTGCAGTCCAAGTTCTCTGACAACCCAAGTAGATAGCTGTCCTGCTGAGATTGGAAGTCACGATGAAACACAAGCCATGGTTGATGTTGGGGAGATAGTGAAGAGAGTGGAGGGTAATGCAAGCAGTGATGATGTCAGTCTGAGAGGCCAGGAATCTCAAGATCCACGCGACGAGGATCTGTGGGACTTGTCAGTGGTTTCTGCAATTGAGGACATCCCTCTGTTGGAAGACGACGACAAAGGAAAGTCGTCCCAGAAGGAAACAGATGCCCCTCGACATCCGACAAAAACTCAGCGGGACGTGACCACCGGGACTCAAGAATGGATGCCTGGTGGATTCTCCTCCAAGCATGAGGATCTAGATTGTAAGCCTGAGAATGACAACGATGACTCGGTCATTGATGAGTCTGTGGAAGATGATGACAGCACCTCTCCCATCGGCAGCTACCTTCCAGGACTCTCGCGCCTTCATGGCAACCTACCCACGGAGAGTCAGCCTCCTTATGTCAACTCTCCCATTATCCCAGTCCTGGGTCTGCTCCACCAGCCTACAGGCAAGGAAAAACAAGTTGAGATAGCGAACAAAACTGCCCCCACTTCCAGAAGCAGATCTTGGGATAGCCGCGGATACGTATTCACATCCCCGACAAATTTCCCAGTTGGGAACTGGAAAACGAAGAACCGCGAGACTCCACAAGAAGTAGAACAGACTGAGAAAGTTGGTCCCAGACAAAGGCGCAGCCCTTCAGGCAGACCTGTCGCCACGGTAATCAAGAAGGACCGGCTTGTAGATACCGGGGTCAGGAGCCTGACTACTTTGAATACAGGAGCAGTGACAAGCACTGGGCTGGCACCACATCTCCCAGCAGAGAAAAACTCAAACGTTAAGACAGACATCAAGACGGAGAACAGCTTGAATGGTCAGACCAAGAAGATGGATCAAGGCGTTGCCATTGAGACACCTGTAAAAGATGAGATGTACTACCCTCGTCCGCAGGAGGAACCAGTGGTGGTCCCCAAGAAGATCAGAACTGCTGCCGAAAAGAAGCACCGATGGTCAAACCAAGAAGGCAATACCAATTTCCCCGACCAAAAGAAAGATGGGCTTAAACAGGAGCATCAACCCCTCTTCTCTCCAGTTAAGTTAGGTAAGTCCTACCGATACTTCTGATATTTTTAAATGAAACTATTATTTATCCTTTCTGGTTGAGGTAATAGTTGTACAGTGAATGCTTCAGAACAATCTTGTTTCCATTGGTACAATCTTGCTGCGCCATGTTGGTTCCCATCATGCCTTGCATGATCTTAACTCCTGGAATTGTGTAATTTAAATGTGCCACTATTTGGGAGATTTAAATAAGGACTGCAGTCGATGAGTTAAACGCACAACGTAGTGCTTTCAATTTTGAAAGTTATTTGTTTTGAATCGATCCTTTCAAAGATGACATTTTGATGTTGTGTTATAGAGCAATTAATGGTTTATGTTGAATGTGCGTACCTCTGTCGTCCCTTTTACAAAACAAGATACAGGGGTGTGTTTTTTTTGCGAAAAACTAGGCTTCTGGACTCCATGTCGTACAGGCATCGCGCAGTCTAAAAAAAAAACGGTTCGTGCTTGACGTGACATGCAGGAGATTATACAAGCGTATATAGGGCATGCAGCTTTCCAAATACGCGCGCAGTACGCTCTGAATAGCCAGTCAGCGTCGTTTACTTATTCCTCAAGGCCAGGGGTTAGTGAAGGAACGCGCACGCCCCCATGGAGTCGAGGCCGGCTTCAGAACTGTATCACTAATTTACTATGCCAAAAAAAATCAATGTTTTTGTGTAAGTTTTTATGATGACAGAGATGTTGTTTGTTGTTTGAAAAAAAAAATACAAAAATAAAAATCTTAACGAAGACACATTGGGTGTTTCGGCTGGTTGCCGAAACAGCCAATGATTTTCTTTTATGTTGTTGGGACACAATGAATCAGTGCAATTAATTTTTCAAATGTCCCTCAAAAAATGGAATCCCCTAAAGTTGCAAGGTTAAATGAAAATTTTGACCTGGACCAGTTTTCCTTTTTTTTGTATGTGAAACAAAACACTAATAAAGTTACGGTGACATATTCTTTTTTTTTTTCACAGCTAAACAAGTTGATTGGGCAAGTGGTCAAACAGGTGCCAGAAAAAGAAAGCGGAATGATTCACAAGAGGTTTGCATTAAAGCATGTATTACTTTTTTTCAAAAGTTGCTCATAGATTTGTAATTTTGTAGTTTCCATTATACATTTTACGGCTGCTAATATTTCATGGTACCTAGGACATGCATTTTATTGAAAACAATGGAAACATCAGAATTTTCTAAAAATGACACTTTAAAAAAAAAAACTTTCTTGAAATTGTGCTAAATCATCAACATAGATTTATGATCCACAAATTACACCTAGAAATTCAACACATGATTTTTCTCCTGCAAAATTGAGTTTTGAGACAATGTGGAGGATTTTTGCCAAACCCCAAAATATATTCACTTCCACTTTTCAATTGCAGGTTCACAGCTATTTCAGAAAAAAAAAATTCACTTCCATTTTCTTTTCTCAGAGTCAGATGAGAGGTCACAGTGGTTGGGAAGAAAGTCTGCGGCAAAAACCGGCAACCGTCACCAAGTTCCAGGCCGGCGAATCTCACAAGACCTCAAAGAAACCAGAGACAGAGAAGAAAAGATGGCAGGTTAATACCCCTGATGGACGAGCCAATAATAAAACCCAGGCTATTTTCGAGTTTCATCCCAAAAAAACAGATTCCTTCTCTAAATTTCTATTTTTCCAGCAATACAAAAGTCATTCCCTTTTGAATGAGACATCGATTGAAATAATCGGCTCATGTTTAGTTATTGAATTATTACTTTGACAATTTCGAATTATTGGCTGCCTGACAATAATTCCCGTTCTCGTATATTTCCCGTTTATTGTTGGATGCCACTTTTTTTGTTGACAGTAACGCTGTGAAATTCGCTTTTAAATGTGTTCAACTTTTACAAATTTGCAGCGCGAAAACTGCCCATGACGTCACAAATTCGCATTCGCGTTTGCTTTCCCGCCGAGTACGAACCGGTCTCATTAACACAAACTGAATTAATGTGTGTGAATGTGTGAAAAGCATTTGTAGCACGATATGGGACAGAGGAACCCCCCCCCCTTCCTTCGTGTTGGTTATTGTGTTACCAGAATCTCAGGAGTTCGTTTGAGATATCTAGGGGGGGGGGGATGTGTTAGGTAACAATAGTCTAGGGTTGCATAGGGTATAGGGAGATGGGGGGGGGTACCCCTCCGTCCCATATCGTGCTGGGTATCGTGAAAAGGCTACCCAAGTATTTCATTTGATTTCATTTCATGTATTATATCTCAGGTAAGAACACACACGTAAACACAGAATACAATACAAACATAAAGGTAACAATTAAACCAGTGTAACAAAAAAAACAAAGAACAAAACAAACAAAAAACAATATTGATAACATCCCTGAAGGATTGCCAAAAGCGAACCTAATCACTATCTGGTGGCTCTCCCTAAAATGCAATCAAGTACAAAGAAAACAGAAACATGCATGTTCATAGAAAAATACCCAATCCCATCGCAGAAAATATTGCTCTTAGAAAACCAAAAAACCCACCCCAATTAAGACCAAGGCAATGCATGACTGAAATATCAAATCCACAATGCAAACACTTGGCAACAGATAAGACAATTGACAAGTAGGACAACAAGTATTTGTACACATAAAAAGACTATATAAATTGATTGAACTTTCAAAATAATTTCTGTTCAGTTATAATTCAAATCAGTTTCAATTTATTATATTATTTTTGTACATTTGTTAAAACTTTTTGTTCTACAGTCTCCTGCGAAGAACATTATTCAGAGCCCTACAAAAGCTGACAGTGATAAGTCGTACCTGGCAACCAAATCGCCATTCAGAGATGTTTGGAAGGTTAGTTTTTCAGTGAAATACAGTTTACTTCACAATAGGTGGGTGCAGACATATGGGTAGTTTTTACATTGGCTTATCTAGTTCCCAGACCTATGCTCTTGAAACTCAATGGTTCTTGAGTCTGGAGTGCTGAATGGTAACACGTAGCAACCGATGAAAACCTGCGTGCAAATGAACAGATGTTTTCATTGGATGATGTCACTCCGCCCCGATAGGCTTGATGCGCAAACAAGAGAGGGAGTTTTTTTTACCACGTTTGACAGCCCAGTGGATGGAAAACACTGCTTTAACTCTCTGAGTTATATTTATACACTCAGCAAGCAATGTGATTTTGCAGCTGACTGATATTTAGACTTAATTCCAGTCTGTTTGTCTTGTAGCCTCCTCCGTCAAAGAAGATGAAGTTATATGAAGGCTCTGATCATGCACAAAAGTCAAGTGAAGAAGAGGAATTGAGCAAGCCAATAACAACCCATGTAAGATTGACACTTATTTTTCAAATTAGAATTTTTTAAATTTTATGTTCATACCTTTCAAAACTCTTTTCCCCGTTACTGTTTTTTTTGCCATTCGCTGTAAACTAGATAGTAGGGCTTATTTCCACATAAATACCTGCAAATTCTTTATCAGATTGCAAAATGGTCACTTCTTGTGCTGTGTATCCGCTCCGTTCACAAGTACCCCCTCACCGGCAAACAGAGTACAGTTGGGAGTGACCGAAGGACGCCATCTTGCCTGACTGCAATTTTGCCGCGACGCGCAGCTGTACCACTTTGTGTACATAATACAAATCCCTTGGTGTACGTGCGTCACACCCAAAGTACAAGGAACGGTGCGCGTCAACCAGCTGAATGTCCCGCCCATGGGACGTTGTTGCTAGGTAAAAGGGCACCCTCTTTCCTTGGCGCACGGAGCTCATACAGATGTCATAATCGTGCCGCCCCAGCACTGGGTGTTAGCTCGGCCTTTTTCTAACAGTTTTTGCCATCCATCAAAACTTTGGCTTGTTTGCTGCCTACTTCACGGAGCTATACGATCTTTGCCTACTACAATGGCGACGCTGACTCTGCAGTGCCCAGATGTAGGCTTGGTCGCGAGAGAGAGCCCTGTTGTTAATCCCTTGTTACTTGTGACTGAACTCGTAAAAGAAGTTGTTTTTTACTTTTGTTGTGATTAACTTCTGTTGGACTCGATCTTTTATTTCCTGTGACTAACTTGAAGGTTTCAACCCCACGCCCGCCTCCTGTTCTTCAAGACAAGTTCCGCTACGGCGAGCTGATCTGGGGCAAGATGAAAGGGTTCAACTGGTGGCCCGGCACGGTGGTGCACCACCACGCATGCGGACGGGATGCCGCGCCCAGCGATGCATGCTGGGTAAAGTGGTACGGAGATGACAAGTTTTCAAAGGTACGCTAAAATTGTTATCATTGAACTTCTAGTCTTTTTTTGTTATGCAATATTGTTTGTTAAAAAGGGAAGTTTTGAAAGTCAAAACCATCGTTTAAAAAATTCCAACACATATTTCATATATTTATGGCAGTCTTGAACTTGTAAGCAAAGATAGATTGCTATATGCATTAAAATACCTGGGAATTGTTTTTGCAAATTTCCATAATTTTTAAGAAGATTGTTGTTAACCCTCACCCTTTTGAAACTTTTTCAAACTTTGTCCCAAAAGAAACACCTCCAAACATTTTCAGTCTTAAAAAGTAAGAATTCTTCTGCGCCGATCAAAACCTTATTTGCTTCTTTCAAGTGAAATATGAAATAACTAAGGTATATTTTATTTTTTAGCCCTTTATTCATACTTCGTAAAAGTTCATGCACAAATTTATCAGGTTTTATGTTTTTTTCTGTCTTCATCAGTTGAATCTCAGCCAGGTAACCCCCTTTTTCCAGTTCTCCGCCCACTTCTCGCACTCTACATTTCTGCACACTGCCCTCTACAGGCGAGCAGTCTTCCTAGCTCTTCTGGTAAGGTCGTTGAACCCGTTGTGTTACAGAAAATATGTGTTTGATTATAAGACAAGTCAAGCTTATTACAATTCTATTACAATTCTACTCAATTGATTCAGAACAGCCATTCTGAAATAGTTGAAATTTGAAAAAAAAATGTCTGCATTGAGACCAGCTCCTTGCCTAGTAGAGCTGGGAGTTTTTTCACTGGGATTTTTTTCTTGCAACTGGTCCACACAATGGGCCCGATTTAGTCTATATGTTGTGTCCTCGGGCAAGCCGCTTCACCCCCACTCGCCTCATCACTCTGGCATTAGCTGGGGAGTAACCTGCGATGGTCTGGCATCCCATACAGGGGGAATAATAGAAATACTCTCAGTCATTTGATTGGTCACATTGGCTCGTGACAGACTTTACTCTTTAATCTTTTACTTATAATGACAAAATCCAGAATGATCAAGTGTCGTTTGCTTTTACCACCGACTTTCTATTTTACTCTTTTTCTTTTTTTTTTTTTACTTATAATGACAAAATCCAGAATGATCAAATGTCGTTTGCCGTTACCGCCGACTTTGTTTTATCCCTGACCTGACCATGCAAACCTTCAAATCCTGTTCAATTTTGTTCCCCCCCCCCCCCCAATAAAGATTGCGTCAACACGTGCAGGCAAGACCTACGCTAGCGATCCGACCCAGTATAAGACCGAGGTTCCCAAGCGCAGCCGGCGCTCGGACCCAGCCTGGCAGAAATTCTACGAGCTGTGCAACGAAATGATCGGATGGGCCAAGGATGGGTTCGAACCAGGCGGCAAGGATGCTATCATGCCAGATGAAGGTTTGCTGCACGACCGACCATAAATACTGTCAATTAATTGTGACGCGTTCTAAAATGAGACAAAAATGGGCAGAGGTTTGAAATTAGGGTTTGCAGGTATTAGAAAAGAGAATAAACTTACACTAATAATACTGTTTGTTTTACTTACCGTAATTTTCGGAATATAAGCCGCGGCTTATACGTTGAATTTGCCCATGAAAATGTTCACTGCGGCTTATACACAGGGCGGCTTATACGCCGAGCCTTGAAGAATAAAAATAAGATTCACATGTGTATTTAATGTACTGGTACAAGAAGAGATGTGTTGCTGAAATGAATTATAAATTAAGAAAGTCATTAACAAACCGAAACCACGTCTCACGTAAAGGTACCGTCGAGCGGTAAAAAGTACGGTGATGAAAGCTGTCTTCGACACTTGCGACCAGCCGTACGTGATACTGGTACAGTGCAGCAGCGATATGCAGCATGCTTTCCCCCAGTGGACCACACCATTTGTGGTAAACAAGGGGTGTTCTTTCTTGGGAACAATAATAACCAATATTTCCGCTGTTTAAAAAAACAGAAAAAAGACGACTAAAATTTTTATGGCGTTCGAAAAATTTATTTATTACATAATCAGTTGTTCAACGTCACAATATATTTTGTTTTCTTGAAATGTATTCAAGAAACGATGTCAAACTCAAAAGAGGGACCAAATCACCCCTTACAAAATTAATGGATTTGTCTATTAAAATGTCCGCTTCGTTTTGACTATTTCCGAAGAAAGTTACGATCGAAACTTGAATTTTTATCGCAACTACTCGTTAGTAATCGCAACAATTTGATAAGTTTTGAGGTAAAAACGGACCTGTTTATTCTTAGGACAAAACAAATCAGCATCTGTTGCCACAAAGCAAGATTTGTAGCGCTCCAGTCAGACAACACACGGTGGGTTTCATACTCTCTCACGTGCTGTGGGAAAATGTTGTCATTCACCGGCGTGCGTGGCGCAGGCTGCCGGGCTATGACGGGGCAGCCGGCAGCAGTTCCCGGTGTTTATTTCTCATCAATTCCCATATTTGTTTGTATGAGTATCGATTGTAAATGATTTGATATATCTTTTGTGGTCCTTTTAATAGCTTCTGTAGTGTAAATGGAACTGGTTCAGAGCATTTTGACTAGAATTTGGAGGCCTTACAAAATTGAAACCGCAGCGGTCGGTGCAGCTTATACGCCGGTGCGGCTTATATGCCGACTTCAAATCTTAATTTGCAGATTTTTGCGTGCTGCGGCTTATACGCTGCGCGGCTTATATTCCGACAATTACGGTAATTGGGCATTCAATTGACAAGTTGTGGCTATTTAATGTTCGCAATTGAACGACATGTCAGAAAAAGTAAAATACTGAGAAAATGGCCTTTAATGTTTTGAGTTTTGCAAGCGTGAAAATGAAAGATGCCAGTTGGTTTTCCTTAAAAAAGTTGTATTCCATGATTGTATATATTATTTATTTAAAATATGTGTGGTAAACATATCAATGGTTACAAATATCTGAAAATTGGGAAAAATAATCACCCCATTGGTTTTGGCATTTTTCTCCAATGTGACCTGTGCCCAGTTTCGTCTCATTTTGCCAAAACGCCTCACAATTTATTTATTAATTAGGGTTCCCATAGGCATGGAAAATCCTGGAAAATCCTGGAATTCAAAACTATACACGGAAAGTCATTTTTCAATAACTCATTGAAAGTTGGTATTTCAAGGGAAAAAAGTCCTGCAAAAACCATACATCATAATGCTAGGAAGATGGTGATAGCTAGGATGTGCCTTATAAGTGTTTGGTGATTAAAGTTTAACAGGGAGGATCGGATGGCTTATGATAATTAAATATTTGCTTTTTTCTCTGAATTCAAATTGTGATCTTGGGTTTTAGATCTTCACGTTCGTAATTTTTTTAACCACTGTATACTCAAATGTTGTCCAACAGCTATCGAAAAAGATTGAAAAGCTTTTTTTTCACTTACCAGTACACAATTAATTGGCTTTAATTTTTCTCAATTTTTCTGAGTTTCCTTGGCCAGGTTTTATCAAGCCCAGTCAACAAATGTTGGATCACTCTGATTACGAGTTTCTTAGTTTTTTTTTCTGAAATAAGTTAATTTTCACTGGTTTTTGTTCCTTAAATTTGGTTGTTTTTGTTCCATCATGACAGTAGAGCAGCAGCTACCACCAAGGCCAGCCTCCCCGCCCCCAAGCCCTGCGTTGTCCACGCCCACCAAGAGGTCGAACCGCTCCCCGTCCAAGTCGTCTGGTACCTGGAAGGATATAAGAGGTAAGAAAATATTTAGACTGTGACATGTATGTTCAAGGTAGAATGAACCATTTGTACATTTTTTTCCCATTTGAAGCAACAAAAGTGCTCAAAGTCTAAAGATGGGGGCTGAACAAGTAGTAATTAGTAATAATAATTTATACGTTTATTTTGCGCAAATGCCAAAAGAATATGATCAAGTGCGCATCGCAATTATTATCCCTGTTCATCAGGAATGAGACCCTACAGCAGCTCAAGATCTGTGCAATATGGTCTCTACCTTCACATGTACCCATTTATACTCCTGGGTGGAGAGAGGCAATTGTAGTAAAGTGCCTTGCCCAAGAACACAAGCACCATGTTCCCCGTCAGGGGTTGAACCCATGTACCACAGTACACAAGTCGAACACCGTAACCATTGGACCACAGCACCCCAATAAATAACCCGATGAAGATTTAGCTCTGTGAATGCTGTACATTTCAAGAAAACATAATATTATGGATATCAATTTCAGTTAGAAAGTTGCTGAGTAATATTTTGAATTGCGCCCTCTCGTGTTACGATCCCAAAATCAGCATTCGGGACATGATTCAGCCGATTGTAGGTATGTGATGCCACACACTGAACCAACGAATAGTAACGGCCGCGTGCGCGTGTGCGTCGTGTCAACGCTTGCAGCCATTCACAGATTCGCCCACTTACAAACCAACCACAAACAGAAATTTCCAAAAATATGTCACTTGACACATCTTTGGAAATGACCTTCTTTTATTGTTTTCTTCAAAATGACAGCATGCAAGAAGGAATAATTTCACAGGGAGTTTAGTGTCATTACTGTCTTTTTAACCAAGTAAGCTTTTTAACAATAACTTGGTCGGTTTCTTTTTGGATAGCTGCAAATGGTCCACTCTAAACTCTGTAAATTTGTTCCCACAGATGTTGTCATTCCGGAAGTTCGTAATGGGATGAAATGCATTGAAGGTTAGTGAGAAGTTGTAATTTTTTTTTTAATTAAACATTTTATGATTGTCTTTGAGCAAAATGATCATTTGATATTATTGTTCTAGATTATCAATTATACCCGTAAACCCACACAACTTTGTTCTGAATTTTCTAAATCCTTGAAAATATTAAGGTGTTCTTTTGTATTATAACACCTCACCCACCCTGTATGTTGTCTGTATCTTGATTGGCCGAGAGCTAGTCACATGGTATGGCCACTGTACTATATAGGCCTACCCAATACCCGTAGCAACCAAAGTACTATCAAGGGCGTCAATCACTTCTCAAAAGTTGATCAGAAGTAATGCAAGCACAAAGCCCTTACAACGTGGGATTCTGGGCACGATTAAGGGCCCCGAAAAAAAATTTGGATTCTAGATGCTCTGTGGTTTCTGACCACTTTAACCAAATTTGTTTGAGCAAAAGATCATCATTTTAACATCATTTTCGAGTTTGGAGTCATTGAATCAGCTATTCTGAGCTAAAGAATCAAATAAAATATTGAATCAAATAAAATGCTTCAATTTTTATTCGGGGACGAAAAAAGTGGGGGGACAAATGATATGATATGATATCCATATCTCCCCCCCCCCCCCCCACTTTAAAAAGTGGGGGGATATACGCACAGCAACCAGTATTGTGTGCAAATGCATATAGGCGTGCGCATTGTGTGTTGCGTGTATTGTTCCCAAGTGCTAGCGCTGCAGAGCTGGGTTCAAACATTTCGTGAATGGGTATTTTGCAAAAGTGCTATTAAATATTCAAACAATTTTGTATTAAAACAAAAAGTACCTTTTAATTGTATTTATCGAGATTAAATTAATCAGTTATCTCTTAAAATCAAGCAGAATATCGTGGTGTAGTAAAACTAGCCTCCCTCGGTGATCCATGGAGCATTCTACTTTCCCTCGGCTCCGTCTTGAGAAAAATAGAACGCACAATGAATCACCTCAGGAAGCTAGTTTTACTACACTGCTCAAAGCAGTCAATATTTGTATACTAAGTACCTGCTCTCCATAGGATAATGATTAAAAAAAAATATGTTTGGATAAAATTTTTAGATATCTGCATTGGCTGTGGGAGTTCCAAATTGACGGCTCAGCATCCATTCTTCATTGGGGGTCTGTGTGAAGTCTGCAGGGTGAGTTCTCAGTCATAAAGCTAGGCTCTAGGTTCCTTATTCCTTTTGGCTTACAAACTTCTTAACAACTGAGGAATGTTGGTGTCATTATTTACAAAGATATATTTCAGGACATTGCTAGATCCACTCTTGCATTGGTAACCATTCCATTCCTCAATGTTCTTGCAGATTGAATATGCAGAGATGGCCTACGTGTTTGATGAGGACGGGTACCAGGTAGGCAGTAGTTGAATATATTAGCATCCACAATCCCCCCCCCCACTTGCCATGCAAATATTGAATAGTTCAGAAAATAGTACAATTACACATATTTCTAAAAAGGTTTTATTTGAAATTATAAAACTGACATACAGATCCTTGTCATTTGATTGGTGGAACTCACATCACATGACATTCGTTATTGCGCCCATTCACGCCGGGGCTCAAAAAGTCCCATTCTCCCAAGGGGAATGGGAAATACTATTGAACAGTAAGGATCATGACGCGGTATTTGTGTGCAAATGCATGCTGGTTTGCGGGTTCAGCGTTGCGCGTATTGTTCCGAAGAGCAAGCGCTACAGCGTTGGGTTCAAACATTTCGTGAAAGAGTGGTTTCAAAAAGAGAAATACATTTTCCTCCAGTTTTGTATTGAAATAAAAGTTCAAATATATCAAATGACAAGGATCTATATGTCGGTTATATAAAACAAATATTGAGTGGCTTTAAATTGTGAAATGGGAGGAATATTATCGCTTGGTAAAATCTGGACTTTTCCAGTGCACTCGGCTCTGCCTCGTGAAATGGAAAAGTCCAGATTGTACCTTGCGATAATATTCCTCCCATTCCATGCTGAGCCACTCAATATTTGTATGACATTGCATAGCTGCAATTGGCTGAATGCGAACGTGTCCCAGATGCTGATTTCGGGCGCAATTCAAAACATGACTCCTTTGAATTGAAATCGAGATCCCAGAATATTGTTTTCTCGGAATATACAGCATTCACAAAGCTAAAACTTCATCAGGTTAGTTGTCAGAGCACTTTTGTTGCTTCAAATGAAAAAAAAAATGCACAAGTACGCATGCCTATATCTACCCTACCTTTGAAGCAAACTGTCGTCTTTCTGAGAGCTTTTGATAACTGTTTTCCTACCAGTGTTTCTGCTGCATCTGTGCTGAGGGAAGCGACATCATCCTATGTGACCAGCCAGAATGCTATCGCTCTTTCTGCCATGACTGTATTGAGTGTCTGGTAGGGCCAGGCGAAGTCCAAACAGTGAGTTTAATTACTGCCTCCTGTCATCATAAGTGGTCAAAGAGCACCCTCTACTGTTCACCAGAGATGAAACTTTCCCGATTATAATCGGAAATTTGACTTTTTCAAATTTAATTCAAACATTTTGAGTTTTCTTACAATCTTTCCCCTGCCAAGTCTGAGTTTTTAAATGATATTTCAACGAAGGTGTCGAAAACAGCACAGCAACTTCTGTATCGCTAGAGCAATTTTAATCTGTTTGTCAGCACACAGATTGTATGGTAGAAGTATGGTAGTGAAATCCAAAAGATCGGGCGATTTTCGGAGGTTTCACAAAAAGTTGCACAAAATGCAGTGCTTTAAAAATCACGTTGATGATCTGGGAATGGTGAAGAGAACATAGAAGACAAATTTATTTGACGATTGTTGGAAGAAAAGACGATATTGCCAATTTTTTTTTTTCCACGTACGTTAGTGAAGCTCTTTGATTTGGATGGTGCACTTGGAGTTTTCCTCGACTTTTTCAAGTAAGAAAAGAAGTGAACTTGTTTATTGACGAGTCAGTTACACTGACATTAATCCAGACTTTTTGATTAAGGAAACACTGAACATTTTTCCACATGTAAAATTTTGTTTGGATGTAAAATAAAATGGTAGGCAGCGTCTGGAAATCGAGCGCTAACTTTTTATACATGTACATCATGCGTGGGGCCAAGATTTCGGACACAGATTTTTGTTCGGCCTATCTTCAGTTTTTTTTCCATTGACCAGTTTCATCTCTGCTCCTGTCATCATTAGCGGTAAAAAAAGTACCCTCTATGTTCACGAACCGAATGCATGGGCTCTACTCTCTATTCACTATAGATTCTCGCTGATGACCAATGGAAGTGCTACATGTGCAACCCAGAGCCCACCGCCGGCCTGCTGACTCGACGCGAAGACTGGCCCCAGAAACTGCTGTTGTTTTTCCAGCAGGATCACAGCCAGAACTTCCCACCAATCAGGACCTATCCCCCCGTGGCAATGGATCAGCGCAAACCCGTCAGGGTGCTCTCGTTGTTTGATGGCATTGGAACAGGTAGGGATGATCAACCCCTGCATATTTTCAATAAGTTTTCATTGTTTTTTTCTTATGAAGGAAACAGGACACATTTCAATCAGGTTTTTGGCTCTGTACTCTGGTCATATCATGTAGCTAAATCATGAAGCAAGTCCGGGCTAGGACCGAAACTGACTTTGGGTCGGGTCAGGTCAGTTTGTCCATCATTTCAGTCGGGTCCGATCCATGGGCGTCGCCAGGATTTTTTGTAGAGGGGGGCAAAACATTTTTTTGCCAAAAAATACTTGTATTTCTCAACACAACATTCTCGATTTATCAGTTTTAGAGGGGGGCAGGGACATTTGGCCCCCCCCCCCCCCCACACTCATTAAATTTACACCACTTTGTCTTCGCGCCTCTTTTTCTTTTCTTTTTTTTCTTTTCTTTTCTTCCTTTTTTTTTTTTCTTTTTTTTTCTTTTCCGGGGGGGGGGGGGGGGGGGGGCAAGTGCCCCCCCTTGCCCCCCTCGCTACGCCCATGGTCGGATCCCTTTCGGTGTGGCGTTTGCAATTTTCGTATTGTGTCGAGTCATTTAAGCCAGTTCGGTTCGGTTTCGAAACTGTTCGGTTTCGGGTAGGTTCAGTTCGTTTTTTGCTAGATTTTTGTGAGGTCGGATTGGGTCGGGTTTGGGGAATTCAGATTGGTGACGGTTCGAATTCGGTTTACATAGGTCTATAACGTTTCCGGCCGGTTTGGCTTAGTCAACCCGACCCGATGCAAAACATTAATGTGCACAGTACAAGTACATGTCCCATTGTGTGCACACAGTTTTAGTTCAGGATACATCGTGAAAATCACCAAAGTTTTTAGAACAGAAAATATTCTGTAACTCTGCTTATACCTGTGGGCAGAGTTGTGCTACAATTAACCAATAACCTGCCAAACATCGCGGGAGAAAAAGTTATAGTGGTTTGAATGAAATTGGAGCCAAGAATTCTGTCGTACTTTGTGTTGTTTTAGTGATCATTTCTTCCCTGTCCCTTTCAGGCATGTTGGTCCTGAAGGAGCTAGGTGTCAAGGTGGACTGTTACTATGCCTCTGAGATCAACGAGGAAGCTATGCAGGTCTCCTCGGTGCGTCACGACGGCGTCATCCAACAACTGAACGACGTCAGGGGCATCACAGAGCAAGAGGTAGGACAAGAGCTAGTTTGTCACTTCATACAAACCGAATCTTATCTTTTACAGAATAATTGTGAGGCGTTCTGGCAGAATGAGACAGAATCAGGGCAGAGGTTGAAATAAGAGTTTGCAGGTATTAGGAAAGAGAATAAAATTCTCCTCACAATACTGTTTGTTGCACTTCAATCGGACATTCCGTTGATAAGTTATGGCTGTTTAATGTTTATTGACATGTCAAGAAAGTAAAGTACATGTACTGAGAAAAAGGCCTTTAAAGTTTCGACAGTTTTGAGGTCTTGAAAATGAAATTCCAATTGTTTTTCCTTGAAAACAATTTTATACTAAGGAAATAAATATCTGCTTGGCTGGAAACCGGCTTGGGGCCTGGACATTATCGGTGACCAGGCCCCAAGCTGGTTTTAAACCTACTTGTTTAATACCAGCCAAGCACATATTTATTCCCATTCATAAATACATTTCGGTCAAAAAAACACAAGCCAAAAATTATAAATTTCCAACGGTTTTGTTCAACAATTTTAGTTAATGTTTTTTTTTAAACACCCCTCTAGATATGTTTATGGTATGTGCCTCTCGCGAGTAGTACTAAAAAGCTCCTTATTTGGAGATTGGTGCGCATGTGGCGTATACTTGTGCGATGTGGCGCAGAACGCGGTGGTACCAGTGAAGTGTGAATTTAGGAGCTCTATGCAGATGGACTCAATGGAAGTTTTACGCATGCCTTAGTGGAGATTGTGAAAGTTCCACCAATAAAAGGGTTAAAGGACCAGATTTCTTAGGAGTCGAAATATCATGTGACACTGGAAAAGTGTTTAAAACCAGACAGTCGGTGTTTTATCAACTGTTTAAAACCAGCCACGTGACGGGCTCTCGACCAATAGGAATGGGTAAATTGTCTCAGGTATTTGTGAGTATTTATTTACAATATGTGTTGTAGAAATATCACAGATTAGAAATTTAAAAAAAAAACTGAAAATCTTTATTTTTGTTTTCTCCACTAGGGCCTGTGCCCAGTTCTGTCACATTTTGCCCGAACGCCCCACAATTATCAGCATACATCATTATACTCTTGAAGAATTAACCTGTATGACTTCTGTAATTATTATTATTATGTTAAGATTCAAGTATTAGTATGAGGTCTATGAAATGGATACGTTTATCTCCAATGAAACAGATCAAATCCCTGGGGCCATTTGACCTGCTGATCGGAGGCAGTCCATGCAACGATCTCTCCATTGCCAACCCGGCACGCAAGGGACTGTTTGGTGAGTTACCATTCTTTGGTGCCAAAAAACGTTATTATTGCACTTTGCTAGGGCTAAAAACTGATATCTCAGCCACTCAGTATGGGTAAGTCCAAGAAAAGGTCCCCTTTTTTGTCACATACATAACGCCATGTTTTCTTTAATTACATAATCATCGCAAAGACTAATAACATAAACAATTCTTATGGTTATTCTCCTTGCAGATTCCCAACAGCAGAATATAAAAAACACTGAAATCCATGAATATCTTAGAAGGCAAAACTTTTGTTAAGTATGGGACATAGCGTGAGCATAATCTTGGACTTGCCCTATAGTGTTTTGCTGTGCATATTTAGTCAAGTATAAGACAACCCCCCCAAAAAAACAACTTTATTTTGACATTATTTGACATTTTTTTTCCCGGGTTGCTATTGAATTATTCATAAAATGCAATGCCACAATTTTTTTGTATTTATACAAATAATTTGCCCACAGCAAGTTAAGGTGTGTGCACTGAAACTAAAACTTGGCAATTTACCAGGGGAAACTTACTGCACAACAAATGTGTTCAACAAATGTCATTATGCTTAGGCCTATTTTCTGCTCACATAATTTTTTCTACCAAGTGCAAAAGACCATAGTGACAAGTTACTCAGCCTGTGTATAGTCTCTCCACTCAGTAAGCATTGTGGCTTTACTTATACTCAGTAAGCATTGTGACTTTACTTTATACCCAGTCAGTACGGACTGATTCATGATGGCCTTGTCAAAAGGCTAGGGACATCAGTAGGTTTTTATCTTGTTGTGCTTCCATTGATACCTATTCACATCAGAAGGAACCGGTGTTCTCTTCTTTGAGTTCTATCGTCTGCTGACCGCCGTCCGTCCAGAGGCAGACAGCCAACGCCCCTTCTTCTGGCTGTTTGAGAATGTCGTCGGAATGCCACACAAGCACAAAATGGACATATCCAGATTCCTGCAGGTAGGGGAACATGTCATTAACCCTTAATTAACCCTAACTCCCTAGGCCTGTTTGCTAGGATGTAGCCTCAATCCTGCAAAATCCTCCAATTGGCCTCATGGAAAAATAGCATATAGCCTCAATCCTGCAAATTCCTCCATTATTTCTTGAATATGGTCCGTGGAGGGGTGACCACTGCCTGAATCCTGCAAAATCCTGCGGCACTGACTGTCGATATGTTGAGGCTTGGCCAGTGACATCCTGGAGCAGTACAGAGGATTTCAAGCATAATCCAGGCCTATATTAATGCATGGCTAAGCAAAAACAACACAAGGTCTGGCCCAAGACCTTGACAAAGTGCATCCTACAAAATCAGTAATGCACTTTTGCCATGTAACCTCAATCCTCCAAATTCCTCCTTTTTGGCAAAGAGGATTTGTGTGGTTACGGATTACAGCCTGGAATGCGCCAATTGGGCAACAAAACGCGTTCTAAACGAAAAATTATTAAAAGTAGAGCATTTAAAAGTGAAATATATACGTCCACACAACCATCATATAAAAACTAATAACATCCCAACTTGATTTTCTTTTTTCTGTCAGTGTGACCCGGTAGTAGTCGATGCCAAGGATGTTTCCCCGGCCCACAGAGCACGCTACTTTTGGGGAAACCTGCCAGGAATGAATAGGTCAGTATCCATGGCAACGAATAAAAACCTGCTAACACAGATATATTTTATGGGTAATAGGTGCCAAGTTTTTTGTTAAGTTCGGAGCATTTTGTCAAGTAAATAATCAGCGACATTATTGTACCCAGTTGTGCTGTACTCTGTGAAAATTCTTCACACTCTGAAACCCTTAAAGCCTACTTTTAAAAGTCCTACTTTTATCCTGAACTTGTCCTCCAAAGTCCTACTTTTGTCCTTTTTTATGACAATTTTATTCTACTGTTCACCTACTTTTTCACCTGGGTCTACTTGAAAGCACTGTGCCAACCTTTAATAGGTGATTACATTATCAAATTTTCTAATTTGAGAATCCCATTTGTTACCAAATTATGTTTCCTCTCAAAAAGCCTCCATTTTCCCTTATTTTGTTATGTAGACCCAACGTGGCCACAGACCACAATGCACTGTGCCTGCAAGACTGCCTGGAACCCAACTGCAACCGACAAGCGCAGGTATGAAGGGTAGCGGTCATTTCCACACCATCCTCCTGATGTTTTGTAATGATTTAGGCCCCTTTTTGATTCCACCTGAAAGGGACCGTCCATAAAGTATGTATGCATGAAATGCCGACTTTTTAGACCCCTCCACCCTGTACGTATCGCGTACGTAGTGGTTCCAAGCCCCCCCCCCCCCCCCCCATTTACGCATACGCATTCTGGTGTACAATATACATTACAATGGCGATTGTGTAGTTAGGTTATGGAACTAGTACCAAACTAGTTAGCGGCATTTCAAACCAACACCATAGTGTCGTGGATGTAGAGGGCAGGGTTTTGATTTTTTGTGGGAAATTTGGGGGTAAAACGATGCCAAAGTGGACAAAATGCAAAACGGAAATAAAGATGGCGACCACCGTGAATGTGGAAATCCGAGTTGATTCGCAGCTGCAAAATTCGGTGAAGAGCACCGGGAAAGCTACTTTAAAGCTATAGTCCATCATTTGCAGCCATCCAAAAAGTAACTGGCGTAATTATTGTTGAAAAACAAACTTGGTTGAAAGATAGTAAGGGAACTAAACTCCCTGTGAAATTATTCTTTCTGGGAAGCTGTCATTTTGAAGTAATCAACGAAAGAAGGCATTTCCAACGGTGATTCTTAAGAAGCACCGTAGGAAAATTTAAATTAGTAGTTCGTTTTGTTATTCAGCGCAGCGCGCACAAGTATTGGAAACGACGCACACGCGCACGCGGTTGTTATAATTCGTCGGATCAGTGCGCGACGTCGCGTATAGCTGCAATTCAAAACAATTCAAAACATGATTTAGTAACTTTTGATTTGAAATTGAGATCTTAGAATGCTGTTTTTCTCGATATGTACAGCTGAAGCTGAGCTGAAACTTCATCAGGTTAGTTGCTCAGTATCCTTCATTAGATTTTGAACTCTCTTGTTGCTTCAAACGAACAAAATGCACAAATTACAAATGATGGACTGTAGCTTTAAACGGAACAACATTGCACTCTGCATATTTGAGTTTCCTCTTTGAATCTGGTTCCTCCCAGTTCTCCAAGGTCCGCACCGTCACCTCCAAGCTGAACTCCATCAAGCAGAGGAGCGAGCAGGTCCTCCCCGTCCTGATGAATGGTCAGGAGGACGCCCTCTGGTGTACAGAGATGGAGAGGTGAGCTCTACTTCACTTATCCAAAGGCGCTAGCGACGTGTCAGTGACTTGTCCACATACAAAAGCTAGCAGCGGGAAAGCCTTTGTTTTTGTTCAGATTTGGGTTTTTTCTTGTTTTTCTTTTTGTTCTATCCCGAATCCCATAGATTTTGTACAACAGGGGTGTGAAATCTCGGCTTTAAAGCTGACTTCAGCTTTTTCTGTTTTGGATTTCAGCTTTTTTCCCTCACTTGCTGTGTACAAATGTATAGGAGATTTCCAAAGTTCAGCTTTTTTACACCTTTTTCAGCTGTTTTCAGCTATTTTTATCAGTGGTCACTCACACCCCTGTTACAATTTTTTCAAACTGGCACTGTGAACATTTAACAGACTCGTATGTAAATGAAACTTGGCATAGAGCTTCCTTTGTATAACATTTATTGTATTTCGCTCAGCAAAAAATCATTAGGGAACAAATTGCAAACAATGTACATCTACAAAATTTCATCTGGTAATGTATTTTTGAAATGGTGAACCTAGGTCACTAGCGAATTCTAATTTATCAAATGAGCGCTCAAAGAGATTAGAGTTTGCCAGGTACTGGGCAATCATGCTAAATCAAGTCGGCTTATTCCCTGCGATCACAAGTATGAGACTTCTGTCTCCGTTTGACTCGGTAGGATTTTCGGCTTCCCAGAGCACTACACGGACATAGCCAACATGAGCCGCTCCTCACGACACAAGCTGATTGGCCAGGCATGGAGCGTGCCTGTTATCAAGCACCTACTGGCTCCGCTCAAGGAGTACTTTGCCTGTGAGACCCACGAGGAGAGAGCCTAAGAATATGGAGCTTTTTCTGATCTGCCCTTTGTCCAAATTGTAACAAGTTGGAATTCTTTAGCCGTATAGACCAGTCTGGGCACAAAAACTACTGTACACTTATGGACACCGATAAGGCCTTTTCACACTAGGGTCTGGCCTATCTGTGTTGAAATCAACATTGCAAGTAGAACCCGGTTCATTGAAGACGGATCGACATGGCATATCATTCACACATACACCGGTGCGTACACAACAGGTCACCCTTAGATTTTGCGCTTTCTACCCAGGTAGAGCCTGTCACTCCTGGCCCCAACCATGGCCCAATTTCATGGCACTGCTAACCACAGAATTCTGTGATCACCATTCTGTGCTTACAGTGCTAGCAGAAAAAAGTCTGCGCTAACCCTGTAAGCTCAGAATCCTTAGTTACGGGATGTACACATGCGCACAAGCCAAAATTCCTCGCTTACCCGTGAAATACGCTTGCCGTAAGCACAGAGTTTTCTGCGACTGTAAGCAGGGATATTTCGCTAACGGTAAGCAGAGCTGTGAAATTGGGCCCATGCAGGGCTGAACTGTTCCCATGTAGAGCGCCGGACCTGTGTAGGAACTGTGTTGAACTCTTGCTAGTCTAAAGGAGTAGCCAAAATATCATGGTTCGACCTCGGTCCACTTTGAGATTTTGGAAAATGCAAAAGGGCCTCTAATATGTGAAACTATTGTGCTACCGTAGCTGTTAATGTACAAAATATGTACTCGTTGAGTTTTTCACAATGATAGTTGGCACAATGTTTCCACCATTACTCAATGAGTTTTTCTAAACCATAGCTGGCACAATGTTTCCACCATTACTCAATGAGTGTTTCTGCACAAAAACTGGCACAACATCATCATTACTCTGAGTTTTTTGGAATGATAGCTGGCACACTGTTTCCACCATTACTCAGTGAGTTTTTCGGAACGATAGCTGGCACAATGTTTCCACCATTACTCAGTGAGTTTTTTCAAATGATAGCTGGCACAGTGTTTCCACCATTACTCAGTGAGTTTTTCACGATAGCTGGCACAATGTTTCCACCATTACTCAGTGAGTTTTTCTGAACGATAGCTGGCACAATGTTTCCTCCATTACTCAGTGAGTTTTTCTGAACGATAGCTGGCACAATGTTTCCACCATTACTCAGTGAGTTTTTCTGAACGATAGCTGGCACAATGTTTCCACCATTACTCAGTGAGTTTTTCTGAATGATAGCTGGCACAGTGTTTCCACCATTACTCAGTGAGTTTTTCTGAATGATAGCTGGCACAGTGTTTCCACCATTACTCGGTGAGTTTTTCTGAACAATAGCTCGCACAGTGTTTCCACCATTGCTCAGTGAGTTTTTCTGAACTATAGCTGGCACAATGTTTCCACCATAATTCAGTGAGTTTTTCTGAACGAAAGCTGGCACAGTGTTTCCGCCATTACTTGGTGAGTTTTTCACAACGATAGCTGGCACAGTCTTTCCACCATTCCTTAGTGAGTTTTTCCAAACGATAGCTGGCACAATGTTTCCACCATTACTCCGTGAGTTTTTCCGAACGATAGCTGGCACAGTGTTTCCGCCATTACTAAGTGAGTTTTTCACAACGATCACTGGCACAATGTTTCCACCATTACTCAGTGAGTTTTTTCCGAACGATAGCTGGAACAATGTTTCGACTGGTCCATAGCAATGAGATGTGTTGTGTTTGCAGTAAGTTACAATTATCATTTAGTTTCCCTGCATGAACAGTTGGGTAAATTTTCACCAGTTCGAAATCAGTTGTGCCTTTCATTACAACTTTTTGTCTGTTGATGTCTTTGTATTGCTGTATTGATGTGATTTCTAGATGCATGCATAAATGGGCGAAATAGAACAATTATTTGTGTCAAAGTTGGAAAATCCTACAGTTTGTATTTCAATGATGTTGTTCAGAAAAAAAGTGTTTAAAGTAAACATTCAAGTAGTGGTAACATTTTCTAAAAGTTTTTCACAAAGTTATGGGCATGAAGTTCTGTAGTTCTCAATAAATGCTTTGATTCTGATAATTATGCTTTAAATATGACAGCACTGACAAGTTTTGATGGCTATGGCCACACAAAAAAGTCTCCGGTTTCTGGTATGGAGCTTGCCCAAAAAGTGGTGTGGCGACGCGGCTTTCTTTTTTTTTTTACCTGTTTTTTTTTGCTTCAAATGTCGGCTGATGACTGCAAATGGTGTCCGACTAAACTTAGTGCAAATATTATGGGAGACCAGAGAGGCCACATAAAGCTTATTCTCGATCATAACCCCATCTAAAAACATGTTAAAATTGTGCAGCAGCAGGATTCCAGTCAAACCAGTGAGTTTGGCGGTTTTGAGACATCATCTTTCATTGGAAAAAAACTTTTTCATTTTGCCGACGCGCATGGCTACGGCGACGCGCGCGCATACCAGAAACCGGAGTCTTTTTTTTTTGGCCTATTGGGTTTTTTATTCAGCAGAGAAGTTTGAACTACATAATTATGTACGTATATTTTTTGAGGTACAAGTATTTATACAGTGGTTGCATATCTCAGGAAAAGTTGAAGGTAAATTTATCCTGTGAAAAAGTGGAAGCCTTTGGAAGGATTGTCTCAATTTTTGGAAGAACGACATTTCACCTTTTAAACACTCGTCATAATTAAATTTGAGACGGCGTTCAACTTTTGTCAATGCAAAGTGCCTGCTCGAGTTCAAGATCTTTGAAGCGAATCCAATAGCTCATAGTTTTCATTCATCCAATCTTAATAGACCAGTTTATACTTAAGGCAAATGCAAACTTCTTGTCACAGCAAGCATTCGCGCTGCAAGGTATTTCTGCTGCGCCAAATTTTGTTGCGAAGGTTGGTGTCTGATTTTACGTTAGCTTTGGATGCATTCTCTAAGAACAAACTGGTCTTGTTCTTTGTCAACATTCACAAATTTATCTTTAAAAAATTGGTGTTTCAAATGTTGTTGTCCTTTTTTTTCTTAGAAGTTTCATATTTTGTTGTTGATCTTATCCTAAAAAAAAATCAGGTTGTCAAAAGTGATTTGCAAAATCATTAGTTTGTAATACATATAAACAAATTATCTATTTTGGTGTTCAGTTATTCGCATGTAACGTTTCCTATGTTTTGTATTATTTTTTATACGAAAAGTTTTATGCATGAAAGTTTATTTATAAGAAAATCAACAAACTATATTTTTCTTGTAATTTACCAAATCAGTATTTATTTTTGTATGATCGAACTAAACAAAACCAAAAAGATCTTTACTCATAATTTGTTTTTTAGTACTAGGTTCTAAATTAAAGTAAAACATTTACAAAGGGCAACTTTGAGTTTTGAGGGAAATGATCACATTAATGAGAAAAAAAATTAACAGACATAAAATGAAAGTTATGGAAGAAAGTAAAGTACTTCTATTGCAAACTTCTTTTTTGATAAAACAAAACACAGATCCTAAAAATAACCCTTGACCTTTAAACTGAACATCTCAGAATAGGATAAAAACACAACTAGGGTCACAACTTTCTAAACGTTTCTCAAAACAAAACGAATGTAAACTGTGTTTAAGTACTTTCATTAAGTAATTTAGCATGTTAAACCTTGCCATATTATGTTACTTCCAAAGTTATAACTTGTTCAGTATTTCAGAGTTTTGAAAAGTTCTTCAAATAAAAAAATATAACCTTTACTTCAAAGGAGAATATTGTTTTAATAACTGAATAAGGGAATAAATATGTGCTTGGCCCGGCTAGGGGCCTGAACGCGGTTTGGCTCGAGTGGCTTCGAGCCACTCTCCGTGAACAGGGCCCTAGCACGTTTTAAACGTACTTATTAAATACCGGCCAAGCACACATTTATTCCAATTGATAAATACCGTTTGGTCAAAAAGTCAAAACGTGTTGAAAATTCACAGATTTCCAACGATATTGTTTGACAATTTTATTTCAGGTTTTATGAAACACCCTCTGGCAATATCTATGGTATGTGCCTTGCATGCGTAATACTAAAAGTCCCCTTATTCGGAAATTGGCGCGTGCACTGCGCGTACTGTGCGATCTGGCGCTGGATGCAGCGGTGTTTTATCGGCTGTTAAAAACCACACACGTGACGGGCTCTCGACCAATAGGAATGGGTAAACTGTCTTGGGTATTTATGAATACTTTTTGTCCCGCAACATGGCAACCTTTATATAAAATAATGATGTCAAAGGTCACATTCCAAGGTAAAAGGTCATCTGATATGTAAAATAGGCTGAACATGTAAAATTGGTCTTATTTGAAAAGTTGAAGTCCAATTGGAACCAAACTTGGGTCCTAGATGCAACATGGGAACCTTCACATGATAATGATGTCAAAGGTCACACACCAAGGTCAAAGGTCACTCGGTAAAGAAAATTGCGAAAGCAGGCGAGACGCGCGGTTTAACCGCCTTGTTTAAGGTTGTCTCAACTTTACAAAGCGTGATAACAGAAAATAGAAACCAATTGTACCTCTTTGAGGCATGGGACTATTTACCTGACAACATAAGTTTTAAAATACATAAAGGGCATGCATCATATTATAATCTATGGTGATAAGTTGTCGCAACTTGCAATTTCAGCACAGTTTGGTTTAAAGAAAATTAAAGTCGTTTTTACCTCTGAGGCATGGTGACTATCTACTGGACCGAAAAAAAAAAGAATCAAAACTGAAGAAATTAAAAAAAGCCTTCTTTGCATGATACAGCCAACAGAACTAAACTTTGCACATACACATCTAAACTTTCATTTGGAATTTTACACTTTGAACTGTAAACTTCAGAACTTTAATATTCACACTAGAAAGCAGTGACTTTTTACCAAACTGAACCCGAACCCAAACTTGAGAGTTGACTTGCAGTTCTATCACATAGTTAAAGCCACCCCAAGATCAACCTTGCGATCGGCATCAGTTGGCACTTAAACAAACATCAACAGTCGCAAGAGTAGAACAAATAGAATCAATCGCATTCGACCTGTGTAAAGTTATGACGTCTTTTCTGCATGAAGATTCTTATTACATTGTGTAGCCTATCAGGGTGCAGCAAAAATGGCTGAATGAATAGATGTCGCCGTGGAAGGTCGTTTGATTGTTATCAACACACTTAAACGCCATTGTTAAAGAAGTCACATGCCTGTCTATGCCGTGGAATCATCGTCGCGTCGTGGGTGACATGAGCATGGCTGCACTTATTTTGTGTCGAGATGCCGCCTGTTCCATAAGAATTACACGATTTCTAAGTTTTGTGACATGAGTATTACTTTTCCGCTTGATGCCAACGGTTCTGTCATGGCGCAAGCAAATCGCAGGTCGACCTCGGGGCGGCTTAAGGTAAACTTTTGGTCAAAGAAATAAGAAACTTGAGGCCACTTCCAAAATCCTGTGTCTAGAGCTATTGTCTAGGTCCTGATGACAATAGATGAAGCCTTAGCTCAGGAAGACTGCTTCAGACAGGGTCTAACCCATCTGCCTTTATCTACGGCAACCCAGGGAAGCTACTGGAATGCACCCATCACATGACCTATACTTTGAATATGACCTTTGACATCTGACCTTTTTACCCCGACCTTCCCTTTTTAGCCCTCCTCTGCTCTCGTAGTTTCCTTTTTGCATACTTAGGCAGGTCCCAGCTTTGGCTCCGGATGTAACTCTCCAGGCTCTCCAGCGAGACCGGTGGGAGGTAGCTCTTCAGGAACTTCCTGGTCCACCAAGCGCCCTCCTGTGACTGCTTGCTGCCAATTTTGGTGTACTGGTAACGATAGTGCAGAGCTCGAACGAACCTGATGTGAATTGACATATTACAAGAACAATGAATTGAATGTCTGCATTACTGATTATACCTTGGACTGAAAAATAAAAAAATATAATAATTTATACATTTATACTGTGCAAATTCCATAAGAATATGATCAAATGCGCATCACAATTATTATCCCTGTTCATCAGGAATGAGACCCTGCAGCAGCTCGAGATCCGCGCAATATGGTCTCTACCTTCACAGGTACCCATTTATACACCTGGGTGGAGAGCAATCGTAGTAAAGTGCCTTGCCCAAGCGCACAAGCACCATGTTCCCCGTCAGGGTTCGAGCCCATGTACCACGGCACATGAGTCAAACATAGTAACCATTGGACCACAGCACCCCACAAAATAAAACCTAGTAGAGCTGCACACGATTTCACGAAGCGCTGCGACGCGTCGCAACCCGAGCTACGACGTGTAACACGTCGCAACTCATCGTATAATCCAGTTCACGAAACGTCCAATGTGTTTATCGCGTCGTAAGTTCCTTGACAATGGCTTAAAACACGTCGCAAGTTACGACGTGTCTAGTGGTCATTGCAAAATAAGAAGAGTCCTTTTCTTGGCCAGTTTTATGGCATAAAAAATACATAAACGAGACTTTAATACCAAGACAATGCTAAGTTGTAAATAGAAAATGCATTGAATAATTATGAATTAGCCTGGAATATTGCAGTTGAAATTTCAAAGTAGCTATACAGTCCACTGAGAGCTTGTTTTACTTTAGAAATTGCATTATAGATCCGCCATTTTGTTTTACGTTTTAACAATATTTCAAGAGGAGATCCAACGACTCTTTGGTGAATATCAGACAACTATTAACTGTACGCTGAATAAATACATAAAACAAAACACCAAGTTGTGCTATAAATACTCCTATGACGCGTCGCATTTACGACGTGTTTTGTGAAATGAATCGCAGGATGCGTCGCAGCTGCGAGGCATCGTAGGGATACGACGCGTCGCAGCGCTGCGATGCATCGTAAGTAACGATAAGTTTCATGAAATCAGGTGCTGGTTCCAGAACACACAAATTTCTATTCAATTGATTTAGAATGGCTATTCACTCTTTTCATGCATCTGGTATCTTGGCTGGATTAAACCCATTACTGGTAATCCTAAGCGATAGCACTGCCCGGCTCTTTTCACCAGCCAACAGCCAGGCAAAATCACAAGTGACAGTCAATCAGTCTGTCAGTGAGACAGGAACTGCGTGTCCAAAAAATAAATTAAATATAAAGTGCCTTTTCTTGCAGTGAACTGTCGAGAGCAGGCAAACCAACCTTGGCGGGTTGCCGTTCTGGAATGGGTTGTGAGCTATCAATGATGTCATCCCTTCATCGTTGTACAGGAACTTCCCAGCAAGGTGCACCAACCATGGATTGGACTCGTAACTCTGGTATGCAAGTAAAAAGAAATTAAGTTTACAATTGCACCATGTGACAAGTCTCTTTGTGAGTTTGTGGGGTTCTGAAAAGAACCGGGGGAAACTCAACATTTCGGGCAGTATGTTCTGCCCATCGTCAGGAGACTCCTGCTGATTGGCAGAGCATATACTGTCTAAAAATTTGAATTCTCCCGGTTCTTTTCCTAACCTCACAAACTCACAACGAGATTTGTAACATGGTGCAACTATAAACTTGATCTTATTGGGTGCGTCCGAGTAGCTCACCCGGATCGACTCGGGTAAAGGCAGACGGGTTAGCGACGACACCTGTGCTAATCGAACTCTCAAATGCGAACCATCATGATCTTCAAGTGACGTCTCACACTCTAACAAAACATGAAAAAGCAGGAGAAAAGGATTGGTGTACACTGGCTAGAAAACTATGACAGTACCAGACAACAAGCTAAAGATAGCTACATTATAATCCTTTTTCGGACTGAGTCTTACTTTCAGATTTACTGCTTTTCCGTCAATCGCAAAAAGTTTGGGCTCGAATTATAGCCTCTAAAGCCACAATGAGATCAATAATATTGTTTTACATCTCAAATAAAATTGATTTTTAGGTCCACTAGATCTTTTTTTCTGCTGTCTGGCTGCCATATTAGTCCATTTCTTGGAATGAACAATACATGCGTGTGACATATGTCCACCACTGAGTCTGTTCCACAATCAGGGTCTGTGGTGGCTGACCCGGGTGAACCCCGAGAAAGCAACAGAGCTAATCGAACGGCACGGGGCTAACCCGAGTCGACCCGGGTGAGCTATCGAACGCACCCACTGCTATCTTCGCCAAGGAAACCTTCACATCTTACATGAGTATAAAAAGATTTAAAAATGAGAATTTGAGGGGAAAACCTCCAAAAACGGTTCATCTGAATACAAATTCAGCCTTTTCCATTTGACTTGTGACTGACTGGACACCTTATCTGCTTGAGGCAACATACGTCGGTTTATATTTGAACAGATCATTCCAATGTTATTGGTTTGAACGTGCGACTACTGGAAATTCTTTGAACAATTTCAGACCCAACGTCTTTTTTAGAGTATGTGACCAGGCCCAAGCTTCAGCTTGAACTCTCCTAATAGAATTTGTCAGAAGTGAAGGTGGACAACCCAGAGCGGTTAGGAAAACTCCAAATGGATGGCTGCAAGGCAGACAAAGCCATTATATATTGAAGGTACACATTCATGTTTATACCTCAGCCTTTCAGATTTTGTCTGATTTCAAGTTGATTACATATTTCTTTTATAATAATTCTTAGTTGTTACCATGGTTTCATGTACCCTGCGTACATTTGTACAAATGTTCTGTTGTCTTTTAAATTATGGATTGTGCAATTTTGTTCAACTGGAGTGAAATACCCCACTAATTTGTTTTCATTTTTTTATAAGATTTTAGGCTTTCCTGACGATGACTAGAGCAGGCTAGTCGAAACGTTGAGACCACAGACAAGTTAGTTTAGAACTTGAAGCGGGACTGTTCTTATCAGAACTAAAAGCTACTTAGCGAAAGTTGATAATAAGCAGGACAAGTTATTTTCAAAACTAAATATGGCCGTGTCCGAAACGGGCTTCCAGAGCTACGGCTACGTCTATTGTCAGCGCATCCCAGCTTATTTTCATTGGGCGTGGACCTAGACCTAGCTCTAGACAGTTGATTCGGTTGTGTCAGCCTTTGCAGGTGATGGTGTATTATAGCGTGTGGTGGCTATATAGCTTGGCATTTGGGATGGGTATGCAGATCCCCGACGTCGGGGGGGGGGGGGGGGGGGGGGGGGGGGGGGTATTACTAATAAGGGCTGCCTTACAATAGATATTTTTTGCTTCATGGTTTCATGAAACTGTCCAAGTCTTCTTGTATATTTGACATGTTGCTTATTTAAGCAAGGACAGTTGGTCGGTATTCGGTATTGTTTGAAGTTGAATTTGAAAAACAAAATACCCCAGTACAGTATTGCGTTAATGTTGGTATTATTCTTATGCTCAAACCTAATTTGTTTATTGAGTGAGATCTAACCCTGACCATCTCGGCCATTACAAGTGATTTCTAACTAAATTAATTAAACATAAGAAAACACCACCTACTGGTAGTTTAGTGTCAGTGGTGTTCCTGCATTTCTGACATATTTGAGGTGTTCTCATTTTGACAGTTTATCATAAATATGTATTTGTTTATTCTTAAATTTAACTGGGCAGCCCATTCAGTGGAATCCACTGGTCTCCCATGGGGCCCAGTAAAGAGAAGACAATGTGAAGAAAGTACAGTTTAAGAGGTGGGAGGGAAAACCCCAGAAGAATATTCCCGGGAAGACCCACGGAATCAGGCAGGGACTGAAAGCCCAATCCACATGTCTACGTCACACATCTTACCTGTAGGGCAATCTACTTATTTCCGAAGACTGGCAGGTATTCATGCTAAGAGTTTACACAATAGTGCCCTCTGGCGTCCTACCCATAATGCCCCATGGCATGTGTGCCTCATGAGCATCCTCTTTTATCTTAGCGGCAGGTCGGGTTGGATGTATAATCACTTGTAGTATTATTCATTTTTGTACTACCCTTTATTGTTCAAGAGAAGTTTTTGATTATGAGAGAAGTTAGTAGTTGAGTTGTAGTGTTGTATAAGTTTCTTCGTGTGTTTTTCTGACATTATTTCATGAAAATGAAGCTTTTAGAGAAAGAAATCTCCCTCGGGGCAGACCAAGTTCTCGGGAGACTCTGCCGGTAGCGCTGAGCAGCTACCGCACAAGCAGTCTCAAAGAATAACCGAACAGGGGCGTACCAACAAGGTTATTAAAAAAAATACACTCCTGTGCCTGAGCCAAACCTACAAAGGGTCAGCAGGGTATTGACACAGCCTTGCCCCCCCCCCCCCCCAGTACAGTGGTGAACACCGCAGGGTGCCGGGATGGACTTTTGTACCGGCTAACGGACCGGGCAGCGTTCACCCAACCCATGGGGCTTGAGGTGCTGTCAGCCATGTATGACATTAGCAATGCAGAGCGGCCGCATGGGGGAACCTCGGACCGGCTGGCTCTATAACATCTCGCTCTGAGGGACCTGGTCTGTTCTCGACACCGGATTTTACCCGTTGTTCGGGGGTCCTGGTACCCCAGTTTTTATCAGAATTTTCATTCTTCGTGAAAGAAGAGTACGAAGTAAGAACTGTAAGGTGGGTCGACAATCACGCTGTTCTTCTTCAAGTTCGGACAAGTCGTCAGACTGATCCCACCTGGGCAAATGCTACAGGGGTGAGGACTCGTTCTCTACAGCCGATTTTATGCAAGCCTTCCAATTGTTTTGGCTTCATTGTTGGCCCTATCTGCTACCTGCCAGACAGGCACTATTGGTGGTGCGTCTGAAGTGGCGAGCCACGCTTTGTAGCTCTCAATCATTGGCCACAATTGGGTGGCTCAAGGACAAAGGGAGATACCGCACACGGTTAGCTGTGCTCTGGTGTCTCCTCCTGCATTGAACTTACACCTGTCTATGTCTATTGTCTTCAAGGGGGTTGCTCAACCACTGACCCGTGGCCCTGCGCATTGGGGTGGTTCATCTGATGACGATGAGGAGGTGGCCCAAATGCAGCGGCTGTCCATTGCAGAAACAGATTCCGTTTGGTGCGAAGAGACATGATATGGTTGTTACAGCCACCCTCATGTTCAACGCGACCCTCGCATTGGGGTGGTTCATCTGAAACAGAACTACGCTTGGTGTAAAGGGACATAATTCGGGTATAACAACTACCCTCTGCTGTTAAACCCAGCCTGAACATAAATTCTTCAAGCGTAGGAGGGATTCAACAACAAAAATAACATGTTCCCGATCCTTCCTTCAGATCAGGTGTGTGTGGATTGCTTTCTCAAGATTATGTTTACTGACAAATGGCAACCATTCGCCAAGAGAGAACGTGATTATTATCATTTCCCCTCTGCTGATTTTGATAATTTTTTTGCCATGCCTTCCCAATCCGACACAGCGAAAGACAAGCTAGCAGCGGATAAGGTAACCACAGCACCAAAGCGGCCATTCGCAGATAAGACTCGGGGCAAGCTTGAGGACACTCTAAAAAAAGTGGACTCTGCCTCCTGCCACGGCGTCGGGTCTTTTTCTTGCTCCTCCTCATGGAGTATTTAGTCTCAGGTTGTGAGGATGACTCAGCAGTTCCGGCGGACATGTTGACCCCCGTTTTCACTGCCTAGACCACAGTCTTCACTTAGTGCTCGATCAGTTTATTACAAGTGTCGATCCTGACGACCTCGGCCCACCAGGGTAATGTGCTGGATGCGATGCTTCTCCCATCACAGGGCACCTGCAAGAGATTCGAGACCCTCCCTCAAACGGGCAAGGATATTTTTTAGGGCGAATTTGAGGATTAAAATTGCAAGCTGAGGCAAAGCGGTTGAAGATTACTGAGAAGATCAATCTCAAGAAGCTGCCAACCCCCACAGCCAAGGTAGTGCAGGGTAAGAAAAAATCGTCATTTGTTATTACCCGTTGCAAACTGCTGAAGTCTAACCGTGGTAGTTTTCGTGGCCACACCGACATGTCTGGTGCATGTGCCCCATAGACTCGATCTTTCACCGGACAACAACGGCCCCATCCTGGCTGTGGTTTCCAAACGCCTGCTCCCTGTTATCCCGGAGGCTGGCATAAATGACTTGCCCAACTCGTGGCAAACTCCCACCATCGGAACAATACCGTCCCACCAAAGAAGGCGCTGCTCCATTGAGGAGGAGATCTGCTGCCTCCTTAAAAAAAAAAGGGGCAGTACACATATTTCCCTTGTGGAAACGCAATCAGGGTTTATGACGACCTTCTTCTTGGTGCCCAAGAAGGACACCAGCGTATGGCACCTCATCCTAAACTTAAAGCCCCAGAACAGATTTATTCGTCCGAAACACTTCCATATGGATGCACTCAAGATTATCCTCGAGTCAATCCACACG